CTGACGTCAAAAAAAAAATTGAATTGTAACATACAATTTTTTTTACATCATAATAAAAAATTTAATTTTTCATGGCAAATTACAAGATCTGAGATTAATCGGACGAATAGTTCCTGAGAATTCGAATTTGAAAAAAACACGGCTTCTTTAAAATTCGATTTCTCAGGAACTATTCGACCGATTATTTCGTAATGCAAAATTACATTCTTTAAAATGATATAAAAAACTATATACCTTACAATTGAACATTCTTGCGATTATCATTAAATAAAATAATAAAAAATATATATAATACTTCCTAAAAGTTATTTTTTTGCATGGTATTTAATGAATTCTATAATTGTGTGCAATTTTTTTTTTATTTTTAAATTCGCTTAAAAAGTTCTCGAGATGTGGTGAAAAAAAGTAAAATTAATATTACGGGGTCCAAATTTGTGACCGCTCTCCAGGGCAAACTACTGGGAGACTTTTGGGGGTCAGAAATCCGAATTTGTCGAAAAAAAGGTACCTATGTTTACTCAGAGAAAGAACGTTTTTGTGTCCAATTTCGTAACTTAAAATATCGTCTGCACTAGTTAATTAACATATTTCACGTCACCCCTTCGATTCCATTAAGATTGAGTCCTAGAACGATCGTTAGATCAATAGTTATTGAGGGTGATCTGATTTTTATTTTGCGCAATGTACATTGAATAATAAAGTAACAAAAATTTACATAATTTTCTTCATTGGAAAAATTCAGGTAATGGCTGCTCTCCATTTGTTGAAATTTAACATCATAAATTAAAGAAATGGATAACAAACCTCAAATTGAATATTATATTTTTACTATATATTCACTGATTGCAATATTTCTAATGTTATACCAACTTTCTAAATTTTATTTTTGGCGCACCAATGAATCTAATACAGTCAGTCTAGTAGGAAAACTCTGCCTTTTTAATTTAAGTGTCAGCTCTGAATTAGAAACAACTTTTAAATTATTGATGTAGAACAATTTTTTAATACAAAAAAATGGCGTATTTCATTAATACTTAAACTAGAAATTAAACAATTGAGATTTCTTTAAAAACAATCTAAATTTATATTACGAGGGAAAATCTTATTTTAGTCTATACAACATTAACATATTAGCTTTGCCATATCTTTAAATCACGCAAATCTACAAAAGGCAAGGCTTAATCTCTTGTTGTGAACTTATTAAAGGCTTTGTTTCCTATTGTAACGAACCTTAAAAGTTAATTTACTTAAAATGTCACTTCATGTTGGGTTATGAATATATAGATTATTGACTCGCATATTCACCCTACAAATGCAAATGGTATCTTTCGCATTATTTTTAATATTGGCGAAGAAACTGCTAATATTAATAATATAAGGTATTTATTTTAAAGCCTTTCTCAAAATATGTCAACTAAAATAAAGAATTATTTTAAGAAACGTGAGAAAAAGTAATTGTTATAATATTATAAAATATTTAAAATCTCCTATTCAATAATAAAATATACACCAGGAGCAGATTCGACGAAAACAGCCGTGACTGGCAAAAAATTTCTATATCGCCATTTGTTATATTTAGTCGCCCCGTGGTGACCGTTAATTTTAATCGATAGTGGAGGGTAGATAAAGCCAAAATAGTAGATATCGACCTCTGAGGGCCGATACAGTATTATAAGTAAGGGTCGATGAACGAATACCAATGCCGCAGGTAGAGTGAATCACAATTTTATTGATAGCAAAGCAGTAAACGCAATTTTAGTTTTAAAAGCCGCTTGTAATTAGAAAAAATGCAGTCAGCGAAGTTTTTACAGTAGATTATGACTTAATTAATTTCTTATTCCAGCATCACATTATATATGAAATCATTAAATTATTATATAACCTAGAAGCAAAGATGCTTTTAAATCTTTCAAGTGTGAGTAAAATACGTTAAAATATCCTAAACTTTGTAACGCGACCTTTCTCTTTTTGATTGCACTTTTTCCTAGCTCATATAGGGTTAAATCTGATCTCAGTCATATTAATTCTAGTTTCAAATGTGGAAGATTGAAACTAACAAATTTCGAACCAAATACTGCTAACCTTCCAGAGCGTCAAGCTCATTCTTCAAATTGATTTATGTAAAATGTATGAATTTTTCGAAATAAAATAAATCATTTAGGAAACAGGTAATTTTTCTTCTTCTTTATCGTCTTTTTTATTGAGGTGGTTAAGAGAATAATGAAATGTTTGGGGGTCGACGATCAAAAATGTTTGGCGACCCGTGCCTCTGTTCTTTTATTGCGCATGTCATGTTGGTTCTATACATAATGTGAACATAATGGCCTCTTCTCGAAGTTGTGTACGTCTTTTTGTGCTCTCTTTTAAGTTTATGCTTTTCTACACGGCCCTGCTATTCAGTTGAAAAACCCTTTCAGCTTTCCTACAGTCGCATGAAGAAAAAAAATAAACACACATACAAATTTTATATTTTATGAAAAAAATTTTTTTTTACTCAATTAAATAGAGCATCACTTGAAGCAATCCGTGCAGTTTAGACACTTTATCTTTAATTGCAATGAGAGTATAATGTTAGTAATTCAATTTCAATTTTCTGCAAAAAAAATTAATTTATATATCTTAGTAATCGGTTTGAAGGCCTTTGAAACCTACTTCAATACTGCAAACATTCTATCTGTTCGTTACAATATCTTGAATAATGAGTATAAAACAAGTACGGATTGACACTTTTGGGTAATTCTACAGCAATTCGTTAGTTCAATATTTCATGTTAAAACCAATTTCAACATACATCTTAAGAGCAGAGCTTTCCTCAACTTTATTAAAATTTAAGAATCTAAGTTCAAACATAAGTATTGTTTTGGTTATTAGAAGAAAAAAAAGAGTTAAATCATAGATATTGTGCAAACATACACTTAGTTCAAACAAAATTATTCTAGAAGTACCTAGAAATCGCAAAGCAATATGGGAGAGGAGTTATAATTAATAAATGACATCAGTAACATTTGAGAAGGAAGTAAATAATATATAGAGTTAAATTAAAAAATATATCACATTTGAGTAAATACCACAAGGACACTTTTTCACAGATTGACATTTAGAAATCTGACACAGAGCTTCTCATTAATATGAACACACACAGAATGCTAAGGATTAATATAATTATTTTATTTATGTTAAAAATAGTCAATACAGTATAATCCCAACAATCAATGAGAATTATCCGGGCTTGTTTTCTATTCCTTTAAAAAAATTATTAACTTAAACTTTTTTTTTTTTCTTTTTGCTGCTGCAATTTAAAAATAAAAATTGCTGTAGTAATGATTTGGGTTTTTGACATCGAAAACTGGTCGTCAAAAATCGAAGATGATAGTTATGAAACCATATGCTTGTGAATTTTTAGAGTAAATTTAAAACAAAAGCATAGTATAATTATTTAATTTTTCACGAATTAAATATTACTCGTATTGTTGAAGTAATTTTGAAGTTAGTCTTACAGCTGCATAAAATTTAAATCATGAACAAAATCATTAAAAAAAAAGTTCAAAATATATTTTTTTTTTGTTGGCATTTTTCAAGAAAGGATTCTGAGAAAACTACAGTAGTTTAACTTAACGCAAAACTAAAGCGTGTCTTTTAACATAACGCTTAAAGTTAATCTTTAAGAATGCTTTAGAACCATAGAACTTTTTTGTTAGTGCATAGTTGTGTATTTAAGTAATAAAAAAAAGATATTTTTTAAAGGCATTTTATTTACATGTTTATAAAAAATTGGAAACAGAATAAAGAAAATTAATATTCGCCCTTATTCACTATTTTCGATTTAAAATAATATTTTTAGGATGCAATTTTTTATGTTTTGATGTGACAATTTGATTCCTCGATAAAACTGACCAAAACTTGATTGGGTAAGAGTATAGTTGTTACTAATACACTAACAGTATGTTTTACCTGAAAAATAGTCGGTTTAGCTTAAACTGATACCGGAAGTAAGCATAAAGGTTTTCTATTTACGGCCGACATTACCAGCATCTTCCTGTTCCTTACCAAGTCTGCAATTCTTTTCCCGTTTACCACTAGTTAGATTGGCAGAGTTTGTTAAAATATTAGATAGATGACTTCCTTTCCATGCAACGCAAATGCGGGTTAGCTCCATCAAAAAGACCTCCACGAAGGTAAATTTCTCCCAGTACTCTATCCAGGAGTTCCCTTGTCTTCTGGATTGGGTTCAAAATTACAAGGCTACGGAGTTGAACATTAGCAGTCGTAAATGTAAAAAATATTAATTTAAGTGCAAAAATATTTTATTCTTTATCTAATTTTATGCTTTAAATAAAATTTTCTTTAATAAAAACAAATTCAAAACAGATGTAGTTCAAAAAATAGTATAAAAAATTTAAGAAGTAAGCATATTTTAATTTACAACATAAAAAGTGAATGAACAAAGAAAGCTATAGGAACCTACCATAATTTAATTTCATTAAGGACAAAGGATGCAAAAATAAGCACTTTTTTTTTAATTCAAAAACATTAAACACATAATTTTGTCTTTCATTACACTAAGAAAAATGAAAATCACCGGATATATTAAATTCATTGCAAACACACAAAAGCAAGAATTTTTTTCTCAGCCGTCTTCAAAAAAAGTTTATGCACCCCTACTTTAAATTATCATTAATCTTTCATAAAAGCAACTTCTTTAACCCTTTATATATTGAGGGTACTTCAAAGTATCATTTTCATATTTAAAAAAAAATAAAAATGAGATAGCAAAAATATTTTTCTCAAACATTTATATGAATAACGAAGACATCACCATTTTATAATAGCAACTCAAAACTTCATAATTGGATACTTTTAGAAAATTGTTGTTGATAATAGTCAATAACTGTTTAGCTCAATGGCAAAGAAGATACCATTTCTGTGTGGCACAGTGAAAAAAATAAATCAGCAGATGAAGTGTTGGAACACAACTATGTAGCAAAATAAGCACTAGTGGATAGATATAAAAAATTTTATTTTCAGTTAGTAGCTAGTGGCCGGTAGACTAATAACTTAGTAGCCATTTTACCCATATTGATAGGCCCTTTTCATTTTACAAACACGACACTTTTTGCAAACTTTTTTTTTATTGGATTTTTAAAAAAAAATTCATATTAGAAATAATCTATGGCTATAAAACATTAATTCAACAATAAAAATAACAAATATGTGACAAAATTTAGTTAAACATAATGACTTTAAAGAATTTTATTTGAAAATATTTTGGGGGGTTGGTAAAATACTTTTAATACACACATTACAACTTTGAAATATATGAATTGTTAAAGAATTCCCCTTCCACATGAATCTTTCCACCACAAATTAATGGATTATAAAAAATCAAAATTTGAATAGGAGACATTGCATATCTTAATGAAAATTATGTTTTCCAGAGTCTCTTTCTGCTGTACTTTTATCATTAAACAATTTTCAAAAGAAAAAAAAAAAGACAGAAAGAAAGAAAAGAAAAATGATGTGGGAAAGTGACCGATTGCCAATTTAATTTAAGTTGCCTCTTTTTCTCATCGACTTGCAACGTGGCGGGTGATTATTTTCAGGCCTACTTAGGTATAAAACTTGTTTGCTATTTTCAATATTCTCCTTCATGGTTATTATCCAGATCACTGGGAATTATACTGCGATTTAAATTTACATTAATATTCACATGGAAAAGTTGAAATCTCTAAAATATTAAACTGTCTTGGGGAAGAAAAAAATCAAAATTCGCTGACTTGCAAAATTTAATGAACACCTCCATAATTATCAGGACAAATGGCACTCTTGGAGTATCTCTCTTTCATACTATTTATTTTTCTACATTTAATTTAAACAAAAATGTTCCGCAATGTTAAGCAAGCTCAAATAACATTAACTGCAACTTCTATCTCACATTTCGAGACTTTACAGCTCAATAAATAATTTTTATTTTATGGAACATATGCTTTCACTAATAATACACAAATTTACAATTCACCTAAAAAAAATTTACTTCAGAGACATTTGTACAATTTTTATAGGATATTGTAATATGTATTAAAGTTTCCATATCTTGAAGTGGAAAACAATATTTCAAGAAAAACAAATGAACTAGGTTACAAAAGACAGAAATTGAAAGATTATCCCAAATTTTAAAAACTTTGCGTATAGAGAGGTAAAGAATTCAAAGCAAATATGAAAATTTTATTTTTATTATCAAAAAGCTACTTATACAGCACTAACAATCCTCTATACCAGTGGTAGTCAACCTGAAATCTTACACCCTCTAGTGGCTTAATCAAGCTTCCAGCTTACACTGCAGGAGGTAAGAAAAAATAATTTAGAAATTGCAAATGAGGTAGGCAAGTAAAAAAAGTTTAAACTTGTGAAGTCAATTGTGAAAATCTTATCACAGAAATAATAAAAACACAATTAAATGGGACACAAAAAGATCTATAATCATGTTTAAAAAATTACAGTAGGATCCACTTATAACAATCCTGCTCTCAGTTATATTCCAGATATAATGAGGAATTGTTTTTTAAATGTCATAAATGTATTAATGTGTAATATTGTATAGATAAATGTGTAGCCTTTTAGTGGGCTATTTTTTCACTTTTGGAAGCATGAAATATCAAAATTGAAATGAAATTTAAAAGAAAACAAATTTAAAAGAAAAGAGAAACGCAAGTGAAGTACGAAACCTGATAAAAACACTGACACATACTAGTGCTGAAGAGCAATCACAAAATATGGATGATACAATTAATCCATTAAGTTAAAGACAAAAATTAAATGAAAAAAAAAATCGTAAAGCTAAACAATAAACAAATATATTTCAATTCTCAGTAAAGGTAAATTCAAAGTAATTTAGGGAAATTATTTCTTATGCTCAAAGTTTTTGTACTATTATTAAATTCTGAATAAGTAAACAACCAGATTTAATGAATATTTAATTATGAATTGTTATTCACAGTCCTTGTTAAATAGGGTTTAAATGTAGTATGTTGGATAATTTCACTACCAAAAAATTGGGCAAGGTAAAAAAATAATTGACTACCACTGCTCTAAACTTTATTTTCGCTAGCAACATTCAGCAAATAATTATAACAAAACAATGACAGAATTAGATTTCCTACTAGCCTTCAACTGAGAAGCACTGTAAGAATAATAAATATTCAATATGATGCAATTTTAAAATATACAATAAAGGTAGTTACATTCCACAAAACTTATAAGATAACACTATAAGATCTGTTATTAAATCACAGATGAAAATAATAACCTTGTCAAAACCTAAAGTTGAACTCAAACTAGTTATTTACAACAAGCCCCAGCAATAAAAATATGGGATTGCAAATTAAAGCAAGGTAAACAAACCATTAGAAATTAAATTAAGTACAGTGCTGTTTGTTTCTAAACAAAATGTCCCATATCAAGGCCTGAAAAATAAAATATAAACCTTACCAGAAATCTATTTTAAGTAAAACAATTTTTTTTTTACATAATTCTTAGAACTAACTTCTTTACCTCTATGCTGTTCATTACATGTATCCAAATTTAACACCTTTGCTTAAAAAAGCTTCAAATATTGTCATTCATTACTTTCTAAGAATATAACCTAAAATATACATTTCCAAAACAAATAGTGTAGGAAGAATTCTAAGATTTTATAGTGGCGTCCAAAAACTAAAATCTCAATAATTTATTTAAAATTTTTCTTATTGAAATTCTCCAGAAAACAGCAAGTTTTTGACTGAAAATCTAATGGTAGCAGCAACTGGAAAATGCCAGCTAAGCACACATTTTTTAGTTCTTAAAATTATTACAAATGTTTGGTTTAATTTTCAATATTATTTTAAGTAACATAAAATAGGATGCAGAAGTGGATCAAAATAATTTAGCCGTAAATGACTAGCTTCTCCAATGGCATTTCTGTTTTGATCTATAAATTATAAGAGTGGACCAGATTTACAATATGACACACATAAATCATAGCATAGAGGTTAACAAGATATTTCTTCAGTATACCTACAAGTAAATTACAATCATTTCTCATCTCTTCCTGTCAGTGGTACATATACATGGAAACAGCAAATAGTTTGATATAATTCACGTTATATACTTGAAAATAATTACTTTCAGAATGTTATACTTTCTGTACAAACATAATTAGTCGACTTAGATTTTTCTTTTTTGCTTCTCTTTAGGAAATATACTTCTCACCCAGGAATCACAAATGAAAAATATAAAATAAAACCCAGAAGACAAAGGGTTTTATTTATCTTTTAATTTTCAATGTGTGTAGCACCCATTGCTCCAGACAGCTCATCTTCGTAGTTGTTGCCATCGCTGCTGGTGATATGATCTGTGGAAGTTGTACTCTGTGCGTTGGAAGTCTCATCGTAATGAGGTGGTGATGGTGAAGGGTAGGGAGGGCATGAGGGTAAAATTGAAATATTTGCAACAGCTCTCTGTCTCTGAATCACAGGGTGATGTTGGCTATTAATGCGGTTATCAGTGGCTTCATCGTAGGGTCGTCCAGTAGCTGGATTGTAGTAACCAGGCGTATATGGCGGCGGAGGATCCTCTGATGGAAAACAATTTTATAAATAATTTAAATACTGTAGAGTATCGATTATCCGAGTCAATGTGGACCATGCCTAACTCAGATAACCGGAAAACTCAGTAAAAGGGAAGACTATTAAAAAAGGAAAGAAAAAGAATAGGTATAAATATAATATATTTAATAAATGCGATTCATATTAAAAAGCTTACTTAAAAACAACTAAGGAGCATACTTTACAAGATTTAAAGAGCTTTTACTTAAAAAAGTCCTTAATCGTTTTTTGTTTTAAGTTACTTTGGCACTTTTCTGCAGCAATGTTTCACCACTTTTTTAGGGATAACAGGAAGGCGGGTGTCGCCTCTTCTGGCTGTTCTATATATTCAATAGCACTTACAATAGCTTTTAGTCCATCTGTAGGTGAGATTTTTATATGTTGATTTACATTGTCACTGTCTTCATCCTCCTCAGTAGATTCATTTTCATTATTGGCGATATGAACGATCATTTCATTGGATCAAGTTGTTGCATTTCGTTTTCCTAACTGTTTTGAAGTTAAAATTCAGATTTTTTCTCCATGGAAGTTTTAAGAATAAAAAATGAACTAGAACAAAAAATCCTCGAAATATTTGATAGCTCGGTTAAAGCGAATAATCATGAATCTACAGCATTAAAAAACAATACACCTCATATTTAAAATATGGAAAGTATAATTCATAACACATGTAATCAGGGGTCGGAAATACTACATTATTTTTGTAGTTACCGATTACTTTGTAACAAATGTAATTAACTACAACTATTTCTTTTTAAATGTAGTGACTACAAGCTACTTTGGAATTGTAGTAACAACTTCACTACTTTAAGGAGACGAATTTTGCTATTGAACTTAATTTACACCTATGCTAAAAATGGTTTTGAAAAAGAAACACAGGTTAACTTTAAATATAAAGGAATAATTAAGGAACATTTATTTATATTTAAATGAACTAGTTCATTACTCCCAAACATATTTTTTGAATTTGTACATTCAATCTTTAACTGCTTATGCCTCTCTTAACAGAGAATATTGAATTTTAGAAATGCAAAATTATCAAATACTTTAAATTTTTTAATTGTTAAATGCTCTTTTATTTCTTTTGAGAAATTAAGTACATCGAAAATACGCTCCCTTCCTTTGAAATAATATCACTGTTTCACAAGTGTACATTCGCATGTGAAAATGTGATGAAAGTGATTAATTATTTTTCTTAATGGCTAGTTTAAATATTAGTTAGATATGTTATTAAATGTGAAATGCATGTCACTGCTCAGCTGAAAGCACAGGGTCATTTTCATTGCATCCATTGACGGACCCATGAAGATTTGTATCCATCAAATTTGAAAAATTAGTTGCGTTAGAACCGTGTTTCTTTCCTAAACTAACATTAAAAGTAGCCGCCGGGAACTGTTACATACAACTGCTTTTTTTTTTTTTATCCCACTACTCACTACATTAATTTTTTTAAAGAAGTAGCACACTACAAACTACTAAAAAAGTAGTAACTTCAGTAATTTCACACTTGTATTGCGCTACTTCTGACCAGTGATGTAACTCAAGGAACTATGACAAAAACTGTGCTCTTCAAATGGCTATGGAGCTAGCTAGAATTTACCTTTTTTCAATTCAAAAAGAAAACTCATGAGTTAATCCTTTAAGCACAGAAAATTAGGACAAAATTGTACTGAAATTTCTTCTTACATTAGTATTTTTCTATTGAATAGCGTAGAGTACATAATAAAACTAATGTATGAACAATATATTAGGTTGAGTAAAAAGTTGTAGCTTTTTTTTGCAACAGATGGCACTAGTGCAGTTTCTGAAATACTTGAAGCATGCACAATAATATGAATGTCAGTTTAAACTTCATTGTAAAGAAAAAATTGAATTATTTCTTTAAGTTTTGGAGATTTGATAGCATATTGAACATGGAAGATCAAAGTGTTCATTTTCGCCACATTTTACTTCTGTAAAAGAAAAAACGCACACCAAACTTATGAAACATTGTGTAAAGATTACGGTGACCAGTTATGGAAAAGCCAAAACAGCTTTAAGAAATTCTGGGCTTGTGATTTTGACAACAAATATCTCAACTAAGGAGGTAGGAAACAGAACATAAAATTAGTATTATCAATATTCTCTATAAATTTTTTTTAATAGGAATGTTAAATAACACTCAGATTTTATTTTTGGACTTTTCAGTTGATCTTTACTGTGTCATTTTTGGAATTTTTCAGATGTTTATCTTTTAATTTTTGTTATTTTGGAACAAAGATATAATTGAAAGTTAGAAATATTATGCAACAAATTTTCTCACACATCCCTGTTTTAAAAACCACTAGCGTTATTTATTCTAGCGATAACTCTCGAACAAAGAATTTTGCCTTAAGGGGATAAAATAATTTCAAACACATAACTTTATTACAGACATAAGTTTATTTTAAATTAGAATTCAGAATTTTAAACTTTTGAACTAATGACACACATTTAAAATATAACATTTATACAAAATAATGGCAAAAGTCTTTAACCTCCTTCTTATGAAATTTTCTTCATAGTGGATTTTTTAACTTGAACCAGTAAATTTTGCTATAGAAAGACTAGAATGTAAAATTGTTTTAGTCTCAATATGTTACCTCACTACTTTAAAAAATTCTTGAAAAAAAGAATCGATTTTGATAAACATTTGCATGGGAAGTTTTCAATTTTAGGAAGTTTTAATTACAAAAGCCAGTAAACCAGTTGAAAATAGCCAAATTAAGTATTAGCACAGGCAGAGCTAGAAATATTTTTAAGCAAGAAAGTATATAGATTTTGTGACAGGTTGGTTTAACTGAAACACTTGTTCAGTTTGTTTTTTTCACCATACAAAAACACTTAAAACAAATAAAGCTCTATGCATAAGAGAAATAAAACAATACCTATGATTGAGCTTGCCGGTACCAAACGGTAATTGTGACGCTTGTAAGTATGAACCCTGTCTCTTGCTTTTGCAACAGCTTGTTTACAAGCACCAGACCCTTAAAACAACAAACATTTAAAAATTCAAAAGTATAAATTATCTAAAAGCATAAAATAGGGCAATGAGAATATGCCTAGTTTTCAGTGGGTCTGCTCCAGAAAAGAAGAAAATTTCCTTTGAAAAAACATATTTTAAATAACATTCACCTTTTTGAATTAAAAAATATATATATTAATTTAAATGATTAATACTTTTTCCCTTGATATTTTGTATATATAATTATATACCTGAACATATAAAGATACTTGCAATAAATGCACATAATAAATACAAAAATTAGCCAAAAAGAGAAACCAGATACACTTACAACAGCATTCACAAAGCTCCTGGTTATTTTTATGCACATTAATTTACTTACGAGTGTTTTGAAAAGACATAATCAAAACTTCTTTAATCAATGGATCTCTGGCTAATAGGAATTTTAGAATTTCTGCAATCTATGAAATATTAAGAGTAAAGCTTATTACCCTGTATTCACAGAATAACGTGTAGATGAATTTTAAAATTTTTATAAAGAATTAAGCATTAGATCTCTCATACCTGCTAGGAAACAAAATAAATTTAACTTTTTTTAAGCAATTAAAAATTAAGGTTTTGTGATTGAAATAATAATAATGCTTCCTTTAAAACACTGCTTAACTTAATTGATTTGTATATGGAACAAATGATGGATGTTTTAAATATTTTCAGCCAACCAAAGGAAATACCTCTATGTCATATAGATACTCCTCTATATAAAGCAAAAAATTGATTTTGAAAGTTTTGGCAAACCCTAAATTAATATTTTTTACTGGATAATCTAAAACAAAATTTAGCTTGTATAACCTAGAATCTGTACCGCATGAAAACAGAAACATTAAGATGATAAAAACAATATAAATAATTTCAAGACAGTAAATTTATTTTAAAAGTAGAAGCTAGGGACTTCTAATTTTTAAAAGGAAACATAAGCTTTGTCAATTATAGAGGACTAACTGTGTGCAACAGAGAAAATAAATAACAAATATCTGCAAAGGACCCTTTATCTTAAAATAAAATATTCACTGAAAGCCAAAGGATAACACAACAATAAAATTTATATAACGTTGTATAAATTGTAATTAAACAATAAATTAGCAAAAATAAAAATTATTGTCTTCAAATCACCTTTTTAATGTTTTATAAAGTTATTAAATTACTTTAGTGAGATCGAATTTTGATCTTAGTATTTTCTAAAATGCTTCATTTTCTTAATAAAATGTTTTAAAAAATGTATTATCTAATAACATTGTTTTAAAAAAACTCATTTACTTTACAAATTTTCTTACAAATGATAAACTTAACAGAAGGACAATTTACCTGTTCTCAATTTTTAGAAAATTTTCGGGTGAATTAGACAAACAAGCATCTTTTGAAAATTCCCAGTTTTACAAACTGGCTTTAGTTTAACAAAATTTTTATAACTTTAATAATAAACAAAAAAGAGAGAAAATAATCTAAAATTACTTGCTAAATCGATTTAGTGATAAAATAAGCATATAAACGATACATAAATAGAAAACGGTTTAAATAAGTTATAAGATCTGTGAACAAACTAAATTTTTATAAATGCCAGTAAATTCTATAAATAATACAATAAACACATTAAGAAAAATAATAATTTAAAGAAGGAAATTTACAATTGTTTTTCAGCAAAAAGAGAACATTTAAAAAGGAAAATTGTTTCAATTATTAAAAATTTTGCTTTTGTGCAACACTAGTAAAAATTACCTGTATATTTCAGCTCATTCATATCTCGACTGTGAACATCAGGTAAATAGTGAGATACTTCCTAGAAGACAAAATATTTAAAATTAGATTTTAATATAGATGACTTTAATCTTTAATTGAAAAGCTTTTCTTCCATTATGATAAATGAAGCAGGGTCCATAAGGGCTTTTCTTAAAATATTAGATATTGATACTTTTATACTAGAAGACAATAAAAATATTATAATTAATAAATGTTTGGCCAAACACAATTTAATTGAGACTAAATTGCCCTTTGCAGAGTAGGATCCATTATAGGCCCCGCAACAATATTCTATTCATAATTATTTTCTCAAAATGTTTAATAAATATTCTTTATACCGAAATGATAAAATATTTAACTAAATTCATAATATTTATTCGATAAGAATCTTTATTTATATTTTAAAAAATGTTCTTTAAACTTAAGTCTACTAATTTTAATTACTACTTTAAAAAGAAATAAAGCATACTAACTTAAATAAATAATTTCAATGCATGAACTATAATAATTTACACATAAATAAAAGGTACTTTAACCCCTTAATTGCCGCGGGCATATATATACGTCTCGGCCAGACGATGCGTTAACTGCCGCAGGCGTATATATATACGCTTTCCCAAAGTACGATGCTTTGCATTGCGCTGCTATAAATAGAACTACACCCCCTACTTCAGAATGCAGTAAAATGGCCTTGAAAGTGTTTGCTTTGCGAATGTATTACTAATTTCAGAGGAGGGGGATTGGGAAAAGGAAGTTATGGAAAAGTGATATCGTATTAATCGCTTGTGTGTATTTATTTGAGTAAGGTCGGTTTATTCTTTTTTCGCTTCTGTTTCCCGTATGTATTTGGTGCTTTTTATTCTTTCCACCAACGCCTTCAAATAAAAATGCATCGCGAAAATGTGCTGTTTGTTCAAGGAAAAAAATTTCGTCGTGAATCCCGCTATCAATGCGATGAATGTGATGTTGGTTTATGTGTCCAACCATGTTTCAGTATTTATCATACAACAGCTAAGTTTTAACATCTTTTATATTGTATTTTTATTATTTAATTTAAATTTTATATTTTCTTTCTTTTCTTTTTCTTGTCTTGAAAACTTAAACTGTTTTTAAATTGCAAAGCGTGCATCATTTTCCTAACCAAAACACCGTGTAAGAAAGTGCACTTGAGCAAAAAACAGTGGCACTGGGGAGTGAATCATGTTCATTTTACTCAGCAGTTAAGGGGTTAAATCAAGATAGTTTATCTAGATTTTTCATAAGTTCTTTCTCATGTTCAAATGCAAATAAGTGCTCAGTTTTTTTTTCTTTTAATGAAGTTATATTTAGTACAAACTAAAAGTATCCCTTCAAATCTAGTATACTTTAAATTATTTAAATATAATCAACTTTGACACTACCTTGCACAATTATCCAATCAAGAAATCAAGAATTTTTAAAAATTTATGCCTGACAAAATAATGCCTCAAAATGTAAGCACCATAAATAACATTTAAAAAAAGTTAAAACTAGAAAATGTATTTTCTTAGGAAAATAAATAAAAAATCCAAATGTATGGAAATATTCGTGTCAAGGCAGTTAACAGACTCATTTTTAAAATTTGGTACAGTTAAGAAAAAAAAATATTGCTTACTCTTTGCGCTTCAAATATGATTGCACATTTATTAGCAAGCTCCACATAAGCTTCTGAAAGTTTGAGAAGACCATCTTTGAGCCTTACAACCTTGATGGCTTCTGTTTTGTGAGCTAATTCAACAACTAGAAACAAAAAAATTTAAGATGAAAGAAGTTTATAACTTCAGAAATTAAGTACAGAAAAATAACAAAAACATACCTTCAAGTTGTGCTAGATACTTAGCTCTTTCTGCTTGTGACAACTTTATTTCAAGATTATTAATTTCCTCCTCCGTAGCTTTCTAATGTAATAATAAATAAAATTAATTGGTTTTAATAAAATAAAAAATAAAAACAATTGTAGAAAAAAAATATATCTTACTTACTTTAGCTGCTCTCTTTAGCTCTTTGCGTATTCTTTGCTCGTTTTGCTCACAACTAACCTGTAAGAAATTTTCAGTTTTGTAGAATTTCACTTGTAACAGTAATACAAACATTTTTAAGTATATATATTATTAATAAATAACTTACAATAAAAAAAAACAATAGAATAAAAAATTATTAATCAGTAAAATAATTTTTAAATGCAAGGTTGCAACTAAAAAAAAAATTTCCCGGACTATTCCAGATATATTTTTTAAAAAATTTCACTCTAATATCGTGGCATATACTGATAGTAAGGAGGTCGAAATATACTGTAAACCAAAAAATATAAATTTTTGTAATTTATACATTACATTTTATATCAATAAAATAAAACACCATAATACAGAGAAAAAATGCCAATAAAGGCAATAGAAATACATCATATAAAGGAAAAAAATTATTTTAAAAAATAATAGCATTTTGTCTCATTCAGCCAACACAGATATCAATAATGTTTGTTTTAATTCTGCAATTTGGAAATCAAGCAGAAATTTCAGATTCCAGGGTTGGCAGGTTTTTGACATGTGACAGTTTTTGACAGTTTAAACCATGGTTTAAACCGTCACGTCAAAAACCTTACTGNTTCGTTTAGTTTCGTATTAATTCAATTTTGTATCCTTGCTTAATTTAATTTTATACATTGCACCTACATGATTCTACCAAAATAAACAAGAGTGAAATTTTTAAAGGAAAAAAAAGTTTATTTCAAGTCTTTATGCAAATAAAATTCTATTTTTCTGCACATATTTATAAATATTAAAGAAATAAAATTGTAAAAAATAATCTCACTTTATTAATAAATCATAAAGTTATTTAAATGAATAAATATTAACTTGCTATTAATATTAAAATTTAATAGCATCTCTTTTATATACGGTTACTCTGCATTACAGATACTAGTTCATAAAAAAAATCCTTCTAAAAATAAAATATGCAAAATATGACAACTGGATAGGATTGTCCTATTAGTGATGAATATTTTTTTCTTATATTACATATAAAATATTAAAAATTAAAGCAATTTGTTAAAAAAAGGAGCAAATAAAAAAAAAGTTTTACCCTTTATTATGAAGAAAAAATTAAAATATAAACTCTAAAGATGAAACTCTAAAGAAAATTAAAATATAAACTCTAAAAAAAAAAATGTATAAGAAATATATGTCTTTACAAAACAAGAGTATATGTATTCTGAACATTTTTATTCATATATAAAACTAATGTTAAAATTAATAGAAATTAAACTGTAAAATTATAAAGAGTAAATCAGACAAGTACAGAATATTAGAACATGTTTATAAGAAAAAACGCCATTTATTTTTCTCTCTATTATAAAATAACACCATCATTTTTAAAGAACATGATAAAAACATTTTGTTATTTAAATAAAATATGACTGTGAGTGGGGATTTTGTTACTAATTCAGATATTCGGAACACTATGAAACTGGGGGGAGGGGATTCCATTTTAAAAATTAGATTTTTCGTCAACCTAAATCCATGAATTTCCATATTTTAAAAAAAATAATAAAAATCATGACAAATTTTGTTCAAAACCGAAATTCATGACTTTCCAGGCGCGCAGATACCCTGCATTTACACAATCTACCCACAAATTACAAATAAGTTATTGAACAAATACTTACCAATTGATTTTGAGCAATATCCAACTGTCTTTCCCCTTCCAGAATCAATTCAAAATGACTTTTGAAAGTTTTCAGGTGTTCTAAAAGAAATAAAAATGTTAGATATAGTTATCAAGATTCTAAATATTATAAAGACGGCACCAATTCCAGCTTGGATCTAGTGTAGCCACTGGTAAAAATATGCTTTTAACAGTCAGGGTAAAAATCACATTTTACAAACAATTTAAATAAACTACTTGTATCGATATTTTCATTAAAATGTTGATAACATTATGTAGATAAATGCTTCCTATATACACTTTTCCTTACTCAAATTTCAGGTATTTTTTCAATTATTTAAAAAGTGTTTTTGCACATAACATTTTTGGATTTCTATTTTCAACTTATTTGGTTTTTTTACCTAACTCAGCACTGTGCTGATGTTTACCAAACTCATCACTCACACACAATAATCAAAATAGAGTTCTATAAAAATTAACCATTTTAAGAAAATCCCGTTGTTTTCAAACTAAAAATCAACGAAAGGGTTGAAACTAGTTACAAAAGTTAATTAAGGCATGCAGAAAGATTTTTATTCTATCAACGTTTGCTGGCATCAAGGATGAGTTTTTTCCACATTTATCAATTTAATAAAGAAAATCCCCCTTCAGAAAGAAAGTTTGCGTTTTCTGACTTCACAAGAAAAAAAAATAGTTTCTATGCTTTTTTTTATATTATATTTATGCAAGCATGATTTAAAAATCACACATCGCTATTAGTGTTTAAATGATTTAAAATCGCACATCGCATACTGTATTTATGCGACTTATGATTGTATATAGTGGTTCGTATTTGGATGATCTATCAGGGATGAGGTTTTTCCACTTTCATCAATTTAATATAAAAAAATCCCTCTTTCAAAGATAGTCTTGTCTCTTCTGAATTCATAAGAAAAAAAATTCGTTTTTATTCTTTTTTCTACTTATGCAAACTTGATTTCAAATCACAGAAGTCGATTCCTGTTTAAATGATTTAAAATCGCACATTGCAAACCGTATTTATGTGACTTAAGATCGCGCAGCGTGTTTCGTATTTGGATTATTTAAAAGTCAGTATTATGATTTGTGTTCAAGTGATACAAAAATTTACCTCAAAATTTGTATTAATGCAATTCTAAAATCAAACATTGAGATTCATATTCACATGATTTTAAAACCAAACATAGAGATTCATATTCACACGATTTTAAACTGTAACATTAAGATTCGTATTTATGTAATTTGGAAATCAAACACAGATTTGCATTCACCCAGCTTTAAAGCAATAAAAAGCACTTAATAAACAATCAAGTAGAGTGTAATAACATAAAAAATTATTAAAATTTTTTTTTTAAATATTAATCTAAGTTTTTGAGATCAATTGTTAGCAATTATAGTACCATTAATCTAAATACTTCACCAATGAAAGTTCATGAATTCCTAAAGCACTCTTATTCTTCATTTTTCTGGTTACGTATATGTTATGCATGCGTTACGTATTTGTTCATAAATATGCCTTTGTGTAATACATATTTTATCAAGTGATGTGCCAATTTCATCAGTAATAATTATAATGTAGTCCAATTAAGTTGAAAACATAAGCATTTATGTAAATAGTAATTGCAATAAAAGTATACAAATATTATTGATCATACCTATGAAGTCTTTCTGAACATCAGTCCACATACTATTCAATTCTCCAAGTTGGCTCATTATATCCTGAAGGAAAAAAAAAATTGTTTTTTTCATTGCAAGGAATTGAATAAGATTGAAAAATAAGATCATAAATTTATATAAATCAAGAAATTTCAGAATGAAAAGATTCAATAAATAGAAAGAATGCAAGCTAGAAGTACATTAAATTTTTATACTAACACCCTATGTGTCAAAGTTCTTATATTAAAAGAAAATAAAAGTAGAAGAAATAAAAACATGCGAGCATTAACCAATTAGATTAGAAAAGTATGTGAAAACAGTTAAAATAGATATATCATAAATTTTCAATAACTTTACTTTAATTAGTACATAACTTTTTATTAGTACAATATTAATTAAGTATTACCTTCTCATAACATAAGAAAATAATTTATAAGCTAATGGACATTAATTTACAAAATTAATATCATTTAAAGAAACAACAATAGGAAAGATAACAATCAAACCTGAATTGCTCTATTTTCATCACATGTAGCCCACTTTACCATATCTTGTGAAGCTGTAAAAAAAAAAATTATAAATAAATCATAAAACAATAAACTTAAAAAAGTATGTAACGACACAAAGAAGCAGTTTATTTTTAAAATTAAAGCTTGGGTCTGTATAAGTTCATATTTCCAAATTTGGATCACATATATCTCTAATTTGGAGCATATAATAATAGGAGAAAGGACAGCAACAAATGTATTTTATCAAAGAATTATTTGTTTATTATAGCATATAATAACATGAAAAACTTGACAAATCTGGTGGATCTAGTTATTAGTCTTTAAAATCTAGTTAAGTCTTACAAGGTAGCCACTCTCCATGTAAAGCTAAATTTTCTAAAATTTCCTAAATAAAATAAACATTTTGAAAACTCCTATGATTCAAGTTAATATAAATTTAATAACTACTTAAAAATTCATATACATATTTGTTTCATTGTTGCCAACTTGGATAGTAAAAAATTCAGCAGATTTTACAAATATAAATTTCATGATAACTTTTGCACAATATAGTAAATATTTCACATATAGGGAATTTTAGGAATTTTTATTATCATAGTACAAAAATTTTAGTACCCGAATAACTATAAATGGTCTGCCATATTTTTAATTTATGCTTGAGTTTGAAATGTTTTTATTACGTAAGCTCATAATTTTTAATAATAATGGAAAAGTAATTTATAATTAATAGTTAAAAAATGTTTTAATTAGTTTAAAAAGCAAGCTTTGAATGAAAATAAACTGAAAATTTTAGAAATTTTTTTTAGGAATCTTACTCAATTTTAGGGAATTTTCCAAAATGTATAAACATTAGAAGAATTATTATTGAACCAGTAGAGCATGAGAAACTGGCAAAATTCAGTCTACCAGTAAATCCAGTACAGTTGACAGTTCGGTTATATGTTATATGTATTCAGGATTTAGAACAGACAGGGGGAAAAAATATCTTGAAATTATTAATTTTTCAAACTGAAGTTGTTAATTGTTTCAAACCTAAAAATTTCCATTTTGAACAAAAGCATTTTTTTATTATTTCTATGAGGGTTGTAAATTAAATAGTGGCAACTTAACCTTGAAACTCACAGAAGGGCGGACATGCGCAAATAGGATATGGAAGCGGTGACGTGACGCTGCTGTCGATGTGTAGAGTGCAAAAAACAGTCGATCTGCTTAGAAGGGTAGTTGTTGTGTGGCGTTAAGGTGAGGATTTTCTTTTCCATCGCTCTAAAGCATGTTTTCAAAAGGTGATCAACGGTCGTGACTTGAAATCGAGGTTGTATGTGGCAAAAATGCAACAGAATTCTATCGAGGATTAGTGGAAGCCTGTGGCGCAAATGCATTACTGGATAGGACAGTAGCACGATGGGTTCAAGCATCTCATCTTTTTTCGACATTAAGCCTTTAGAAAACATGCTTTAGAGCGATGGAAACGAAAGTCTTCACCTTAACGCCACACAACAACTACCCTTCTAAGCAGATTGACTGTTTTTTGAACTCTACACATCGACAACAGCGTCACCTCACCGCTCCCATATCCTATTTGCGCATGTCTGCCCTTCTGTGAGTTTCAAGGTTAAGTTGCCACTATTTAATTTACAACCCTTGTATTTAAAATTCTCATAATTAATTTTATGAGAAGCTTTAGATAGGTAGAAATAGAATTAGAAGAATACTTTTTCACCAAAGTCTAAAGATATAGTAAAACTAAAATTTTTAATTAGAATTATTTATGAATTAAATACGAATAATGTATTAAAATCGATAACAAGAAAAAATATAAGTGCCTAATGATGGAGTGAAATGCTTTATAATGAGTAAATATAGTGATGCATATGATAAATATTGCTAATTATTGATAGTTCAAAAAATTTTAGAATTGAGGGTAAATTTCACTGAGAATGCGAGGTTTTGCAGTACAGTATTTTATAATTTCTAGAGAATTTCAGATTATCTCTGCTCTCAGAGAGAGCAGCCATTATGAGCCAGAAAATTTATGCTTATTTGACTTGATACCCATGAAAACGTGCTGAGTGAACCATACAATGAAATCTTGTTAATCATGAACATGTAATTGAGTTTTAAACTTTAATGATAGCACAATTTAAATATTTATTATCGTATCTTAAATTTCAGTTAAAGAATTTTTTTAAAAAATAAAGCCATTTATTAAATAAATAGCCAATAATATATAACTAGTTTAGAATATCCTTAGTATTTTGGGCAAAGATTTAAATGTTCAACACTGAATTTGCACTGAAAAGTAGGGTAGAAACAGTAAAACAACAATTATGATTCTCTGATACCTTTCTCATAATCAGGAAAAAAACTAATTTTTCTGAGTTGACAAACTGGAGGTTTTATTTAGAGTTTTTTAAAAGTTAAATAATAATAATAACAACAAAAGAGAATTGCTAAGTTTTGAACACTCTAATAAAAACTAAGAAAATATAGTATATTACAGATTTTAAAATGCATTACAAATTTTAGGAAGGCAACACCTTACCAGAATTTTGGGCAGTCATGAAGGCTTTAGTGGCATGCCTCAAGTCTTTCAATTCTGAAATCACCATGTTCAAATCTGAGTGACCAGCTCCAATTGATTTTAAACGCACTCCACTTCTGTAATTATGAATGCTTACCTATTAATTTAACTAGTTTACTCTTATAAAAAATTATTATTATTTAGTTTTTAAAATGTCATTCATGTAATGTTTTCAAGTTATGTCAATGTCATGTTATGTTTTCAAAAACATACAGTTATAGTATTGTATAAGAAATATTAACTGCATAATATGATTATTACTCAAAATGCTGCAATAATTAAAATCAATATTAACCTCAAGGTTAATACCTAAATACAAAGTATATCATATCAATTTTATTTACAATTTTATAATGAATAATTATGATTAATGCATGAACCTAATATTATAAATTTAAATTTTCAAGTATTAGTATGCTTTTAATTGGTTTTTCTCTTCTTTTTTGAACACTTGTTTTAAGGATTGGCAAAAAGGGCAACAGGATTCAGAATAAGCACAATCTATGTGGGTTTTTTCATGAAAAAAACTAATTTTCGTTAGGGATAAGTGGGTTTATTCATGAAATGATTCAGCTTTGCCCAGAGATACGAGCGTTTTTTTTTCCTAGTATATTCTATATGTATAGTACATACTGAAGCGATTAATAAAAAAAAATGCTTATAAAATAACTATTTCAATCATTTTTTTTTTTGCATTCTAAATGTATAATGAATTACAGTGGAGCATCGTTTATACGACGCCGAAGGGACCCCCGAAAAACGTCGTATAAACGNTGTATAATGAATTACTTAATAATAGAGTTACTGAAAATAATCTTTGTAAAATGTAAAGTATAATATGTTGTACCATTAGTTTTAAATTATAAATACATATTTATGAAATGAAATGTGCATGTCTTTTTGTAGCACATGGTGTGTTTATTTGTATCTTTCAATGCTTATATTCTTTATATGTCCTACAATGTATAAAAAATTAACAACTTTGTTATACTTTGTCCTTTTGAAATAAATAAAAATTTTAAATATTTGTATTCTAAGCATTCCAAGTATATAATTTAAAATCTTACTGAACATGAAGGAATATATTTTTTTTCAATTGTATACTTTTTTATCTTGTATTTGATTATATTAAATTAGTTTACATTAAAATAATATAATTTATATGAAAAGTTAGATAATTTTTTAAATTTTTTTTTAAAGAAATAAAAGAAATTATGAATTTTGTAAAAAGTTTGTAAACAAATTTATATAATTTATAGAAAGTTAAAGTTATCAAACAATAAGTTGATAATTTTTATAGAACAATTCTGATAGATAATTGCAAGAAAATTAAGTGGAAATGTTAAAAAACCCACTAAGTAAATATAAAGATTGGCTTTTTCAAGTGAACTCAATCTGTAAAAACATGTTGCATGTTTCTCGGCTTAGTCCACCTTGACTAAACCCACTTGTTTCATAAAGACAGCACCAATATCCTTAGCCATACTATTAAATTCTATACAACACAATTAAAAATAAATTAACTGTGGTAAGTGTCACCTGCGTAAAACCTTGCTTGCTCGATCCATGGAATACTGTTGCAGCTGCAGATAAATAACTATAATCTTATCTCCTAAGTGAAGATAATCCAAAGAAAACTGAAGGAGAAAAAAAGCTATAATTAAACAGAATTTTTCTAAAAAAATATAAGTACGGTTTAAAATTCATATGTAAGTTACACATATAAATATATTAGTTTGAGCATGAAAAAAGTGTTAACAGATGAGTTAGTTGTTCAATAGATAAATTTTGCCAGGAAACTTGTTTTTAAAATGACTTTAACATGAAGTTTGAATTTTTAAGTACCTAAATAATGTTTTTGATTTACTGTTGATTTTTGATTCACATAACACTTCCTGAATCTTAGCTAACTGTAAATACTCAATTCAAACAAGATGATCTTGTAAAATATCTAAAAAGAATTTTTTTTTTTACACTTTAAAATGCATTAAAACGTACCTTTATACTGCCTTTAAAAGGATACTATGTCATAATTCGGGAATTAACACAATCAAATACAATAATAGCTGGTAGATAGACTGCTACTATTGATCTGCTATTTTAAAGTTTTCAGTTAACTATTGGCGCAAACTATACACGGATTTCATTGCCCTAGTAGCTTCTCTCGAGAATTCTGTGATCACCATGGATTTATTTAAAAATAAATCTTAACAGAAAATATTCTAAAATTGCAACCAAGATTAGATTGTTTGCTCTGAAAATTATATTCTTTTTACTTTTTAACTATTTTTTTATTATTTAATAAATATGACAAGAGGCCACAAATTTTCGATTGATTGAATTATGTCAAATAAAGCTTTTTGATAAAACTTAGTAAAAAAGATCATTTTTGTAGTCTAGGGAGAGTTTGAAAAGCAAATGAAAATGGAAATGCCGATCTCCCATTTATATTTCATGGAAAATAAAAAAAAATCTAATCCACTTCACTAAAAAAAAAACAAATATATAGCATTTGTTTATAAGCATTCTCATATTATAAAGAAATGTGCAATTTTAACTAATAATAAAGAAATAAAAATATTTGAGTTGTGAACAAATGATAATTAACTGATCTTAATAAAGATATAAAGCAAGATATAATGACCAAAGCAGTGATGTTTATCTCATACAACAATCAAAATCCCTGCATAATAACTTATTTTAGGAACAGGCATATTTAAGTCCAAGTTCTGCAATGCTGTAAATTACTGATTCATTATATAAGCAATTATACAAATTTGACATTGATTAACTTAAAGGAAAGCAATTTTAGCTTTCTAAATAAAATAATAAAAACTTTGGCACAGAAGAAAGTGGAAATAATTCAACTAGTTACGGTTATTTTAATGTTATATGCATGGAAAATTCGTAAATTTTAAAAGTCTTGTTTCAGAACATTTGATAGAATTCTGCACTCTGAATTAACAACAAAGAAAAAAAAAAACAGCAATATTTCATTTTAGTTTCAATGAAAAATGGATTGTTGGCTTTGAGATTTGACATCCTATATTTTTATTAAAAACTATATATTACGCCTGAGAACTATTTAAATATTACTCGGAACAGAACATTTATAAGTCTGATATATAACAAAGGTTACGAATATAGTACTTTTGGAAAACATGTACATAAGGATAGTTCTAAATTCGAAATGAAGTCAGTAAAATAGCGTTTCCATAACTCAAAAATCTATCAATACAAAAAATTCAATAATTAAGCATTTTACATAAGAAAACATAAGATGAAAAACTAACGTAAGTTGATTTATAAACTTAAAGATGTATTCGATAAACAAAACTTTCGAATAGGCACAAGTTCATAAATAAAAGTTTTCTTCTTCAGTATAGAATATAATTAGCAACTAAAAAGTACATATTAATAATAATTAGTATGAAGATACAAGATAAACTTCATTCACATCTTAGCCACAATAAATTATGTAAAAATACATAACAATGAAACTAATAATAAAGCCAGACCAGCCAGACAAAAATATGTCAAGAAATCAAGATAAATCTCTTCTCTTCTTTTCATCAAAGTTTTATAAAAAGAGTACTACATCCGGATCGGGTTGATCCGAATAAACTGCACCAATCACGTTCCGATTCATTCAATATTTCAGTATAGTTTGAGGACAAATTAGTGGGTCGTCCTCAAAAAATACTATGACTTGATTTCGTGATTCCTAACTTCATTCATAATTTCATAAACTTGTTTTCATGACAACGAATAAGAATATGATCAATTTATCTGTAGATCGGTACTTTCTTTACTTCAATTAGCAATGCTGTTGTTGTTGTTGTTGTTAATTTACGTCGCACTACAGCTGCAAAATGGGCTATTAGCGACAGTCTGGGAAACATCCCGGAGGATGATCCGAAGATATGCCATCACAATTTTGATCCTCTGCGGAGGGGATGGCACCCCCGCTTCGGTAGCCAACGACCTGCGCACGAAGTCGAGCACTTTACGTTAGCACAGTTTAACGAGGACCAATACCGCACACCCTCGGCCCATACGCAGACTGATCCAAGTGGTCACCCACCCGCACACTGACCGTAGACAGTGATACTTGACTTCGGTGATCTCCTGAGAACCGTGTCTTAACGATCAGTCCACTGCGGGACCAATTAACAATGCACAATGGGCAATTTGGATATGGTCTTGGAAACATCTCTGAGTATGATTCAAAGACAAACTATCACAATTTTGATCCTCTGCAGAGAGAATGGCTCCCCCGGTACGGTAAACTGAGCACCGATATCACCCACCCTCGGTCACTGAGCAGGAAGATCAAAATAATCACCACCCGCTCACTGACCACGGTCACGATACTTGACTTTGGTGTTCGGCTGGGAACTATGTCTTTACCATCAGTCCCCTGCTAGACATAATTTATTTATTAAAATTTCTTTAATTTTTGTTGTTGTTTATTTACGTCGCTCTAGAGTCTACGGTCTAGGTCTACGGTCTGGGAAACATCCTTGAGGATGATTCGAAGATACGATATCATAATTTTGATCCTCTGCGGAAGGGGGCTCCCTTACTTTGGTAGCTAATTGCTGCCTCACAGGACCAAACATGTGCTTCATGTACATGTAGATATTTCATGTTAAGCCGCGTTAATGAGGTTCAACTGTATCTGTATTATTTTCCAGACAAAATAAAGTGTCTACTGGATTTCAGAAAAATAAGAAATTATCAATGGTGGCCAAAACCAATTAAAAAGTATAAAAACGCTAAAAAAACATACGAAATTCAATACAATGACAAATATCACTCTTCACATAGAACATTGATTGAATTGCTACAACAAATAACTACGATGGAAGTAAAGGACACTCCTTCATGTAAAGATATTGAGAGAGTCGATTCGTAACCTTGAAGGTCACGATCGAAAAAGGAACCGAAAGTTATTGGCGATCGCAACACTCGAATACGCCATCTGGGAAGAGACCGGTTTCATGCTTTTAGCCCTTCTCCCTTCCCTCTCCTCCTCTTTTCAGTTGTATAGGAATGTACTACGACATTTTCCCTTTTCTTAATATTTTTCCTTTTTATTTAATAAAAATATTTTTTAAAATTTCCATGATACTTTTCTTTAGAACTATGTTTAATGCAGTTTTCAGTTCCATATAGTTTTTCAAGTTAAAAGATTTTAATCTATATGAAAATCAAGAGAGAAACTAACGTACTTCCTTCCTCTATGACTTTCCACACGCTAATGGGGAAAGAATGTGAAGTGTTGCCATAGGTAGAGAGTTCTGCTCTACGCCACCTGCAGCCCATTTCGATCGCCAATAATACATTTTAAAAAAAGTAGTAAAATAAATTTCTGCCTAACCTGTTGTTTTTATAACAGGTATGATTAAATAACAGGTGCAAAATACCTGTTCCGGAAAATATTGGTCAGCTCTACTGGCAACCCTGGTACTCTTATTTAACAGAAATATACAGTTAAGAGCGTTTCCAAAAAACCTTTGTCTAAATGTCTTGTTTTTTAAAAGTGTAATCAAGAAATTTTATTTCGTTTTACATTAAATATTTAAAAAAGTTCCTTCGCTTTATTAAAAGAAAACCATTTTCTTTAAGTTATAATACTTATAGTCTGTTTAAACAATTAATTTTAAATACAAATTGATATTTAAAGACTTGTGGGGGAATTATCGACTATGTCAACCTTCATCTATCAAAAGGTACCTCATGATAGAATCAAGTTAACATGTCTTATATACTAGTGAATTGGTATTTATTATTTATAGTGGTAGTTACACCACAGACTTATTTATCTTAGTATAAAGATTGTTGCTAAAATTGTAAAAAAAAAGTATATTTTGTGTACTAGAAATTGAAATTTTGAACATGCCTCCTGTTGAAGCATGTAATAATTATAAAAAAGATGCTTTTAAGCTGAAATATCTACGATTTACATAGAAATACTAAACTATTGTCAAGAAAGCTTACTAGTATTTTGCAGTTTCTCTAAAAAAATTAATAAAATAATGATGAGCTTAAATCAGGAGTTATTCCCTATCAAAACGTGTCTTTTTTAAATAATGACTTAATCACTTCAAATTTAAATAAGCTCACTCACTCGTTCTCTCTGTATATCTATGTAAAAATGAAACTCATTTTTGTGACATTTGATCCTGTTATCTGAAAATAAATTAAGTTCAAAAAGAAGATGTCCTGTTACATGCATTGTCGTCAGACGATGATTTTCAGTTTGGTAGTGCTTTCCTATTTTTAAAATAATTTTAGTACTATTTTTCCAAATGAATTTGACTTTTAAATTATTTCAAATTTGAGCATTTCATTGTTAATCAAATAACATAAATTCATATCATTATGTATCAAAAAAATCTTGAAAATCTTAAACTTAGAGTTACTTTACCTTCTGAAACCCAAGCTAAAAATAATGAAAGGAAATAGAATTTTTAAATTGTGATGCGTTGATTAGAAGAAAAGAAGCACATAAACAGGGTTAAAAATGTTTAAAAAAGAAATTTCAACTCAGTACATTTTTTAAATTAGTACGTTAAACAATTTGAATTTTAAGCATTTATCGTGTGTACTATCAAAACAAAATAATATAAATAACAAAATTCACAAGACCAAAATAAGATATTTATATGCTATAATATGCTAAAACTTCCCAAAAATTTACAAATAGGAAATTTTTTAACTTTTGTATAACTTTTCATTGTAGCTAAATTGGATAAAATCGCTTTATTTTGCTTATTATTTTATTTTGTCCCTGTTAATATTTTGAAGAATCCCATTAAGATTTGACAACCGAAACTAAAAATCTGAAGCTAAAGAGCTAAGTAAAATTGATTATAACTAAGTTTTATTTTGAAAGTGTTGTTGATGAGAAACATAATCAATTTTCTGTTAATATGTGTTACTTTATTTTGTGTTTATTTTTTATTTTCTTTATTTTATGATGAATATCTTTGTGAATATGTGTTTAAGATTTGCACTGAATTTTCAGTACTGTTTCAATATCAACATCACTTAAAATGACAAGTCAGAAGAAGAATTGTGCCCCAAACTTGTCATTAGCCTTTTATCAACTATTATACCCTAGTATTAAGCATATTACAATTAATGCCTTTTTATACTTTCGGTAACAAAATTAATTAACTAAAAAAAAAAAAATCTTGTTTTTTCAATTTGACTAAATCGGAGAAAATATTTTTTTATAGGAATCATCGTTTTCGGAAAATGAGAGAGAATTTTAGGGTGTGATAAAAATTATAGCAAAAGTATGTTTTCCGCATTTTTTTATATGATGTTATAAAATAAAATAATATCTTCTACTTAAAAAATATTATTTAAAAACAATTTTATTATATTACTTGAGTTTTTTACCTACTATATTTTATCTCAAGAAATAATATAAATTTCTATTAACAATAAAACTCTACTCATTATGGTGAGGATTATTGTTTTGTATTCGGTGAAAGAGTGTTAATTGAAATTTCAGCACCCTAGTTAGTCAAAAAGTATTCTAAATTTTTATTGGTGATAAAATGTTACATCTTTTTAGCCTTCAAAAAATGACTGAAGCTTGCATTATCATCCTGAAGAGAGCTCCAGCTTAAATATGAGATCTCCATCTAATACTGTGATTAAAATTGTTTACTTTTTTAAGCAAGTATATAATTTTTTTTTTTACTTATAAAATTAATGATAACAAATAATTTTTAATAACTTCAGATTACTATCTAAGGAAAATTAAATTACTTTTATAAGTTATTTTATTTTCATTATGTTAAGTTTATGAAAATGTTTTTCTTTGTTTTATGAAAAATATTTTTTATTTTAAGATAGATCTATTTTAAAGATGACGCTATTCTATAAACCATGATTCTCAATGAACTACATTAACTTTTATGGACGTTACATATACAAATTAAATTTTTTTTTATAAATAAGTATTTAATTTTCCATATTTAAGACAAAAATAGTTCAGGCATAAATGTGTATGTACAAAATGTTTTTATTTTTATTTATTTAAGTGTTAAAGTTAAATTTTGATGATATCATTTAATCTTTGTTACTTTTTGATGTATATATTGTATGAAAAGTGATTAAAATGCTTTTCTTAAGCATAAATTGTTAAAGAATTTAATTAATGTTTCTCACTAAATTTTATTAATATTTTTTTTCATCAATTTTTTAAGTCCTTAAAAGAATTAACTGATATAGTAAGATTTTTGTGGTGCTTCAGTAATTCGGCTGATTTATTTTAATATGTTTAATAATAATTATTTGTTTATTTTTTAGTCTTGTCGAACATGCTGTAAATATTGTATTACTCGATGATATAAGTATATTTTATTTTTTTAATGAAATTAAGTTTCTTTTTGTAATGTTATATACTATTTTTAAATGTACTTTTACCTGGTTAATGTTATAGTTTATATTTTGTTATTGCTGATTTGAAATATTTTCATTACATACTTCTTTTATTGATATTAAAAATTAAATGTAATTACATGTGTTTCATATGAAATTGATAACTATAATTTGTACTGTTTATTTGTACATTATTTTTTTAAAAATTATGTATCAAGCTGAATATGCAGTCAGGGGTCTGTTTACAAGAAATTTGGGTCCGTTAACGGACCTTCACAAAATATTTTAACTTAAAAATGGACCCTTCGCAAAATAATTTATTTTTTAATCGGACCCTTCACAAATTTGCTGATCTTCATTATTGTTTTCTAAATCGAATAAACCCTTCCCAGGAAGGGCGGGGGAAAGAAAGACAGATGTAAACAAACTAAATTTTCTCTTCGGCAGACGCTTCTTCCTTTATTCGTCCGAAGTGAATATTCTACGTTCAGGAGCATAGACTAAATACCAAATATTTATATGTTGCATCATTAATTTAGTAGCTGCAATTGCTGTTTATTTTTTAAAATTTAATTTTTTTAATTATAATTTTACAGTGTTGAGCATAATCTTGTATGTCTTTACAATTTAAAAATTCCTTGAAAAGGTTTTTTTGCAATAACGGATCCTATTTGCACAAATTCTCAAAAGCGGACCCTGGTTGAAAGAATGGGACTTAACGTTTATTTTATATTCACAAATTACGAGTAATTTTTTTACAATTTTTCAAAAACGGACCCTTCGCAAAATGTCTGACAGACCCCTGGCAGTGTTTTTGTTTTATTTATTTTTTAAATTAAAACAAAGTAAAGATTGTTTTTATTTTCTTTTAGTTTTGTTTTAAATGTTATAATTTTGTTCTATTTTTAGTAAGCACAAATGTAAGGGTTAATTTAGTTTACATGCAAAAATCTGGCATGCTTTTCTTAGAATCTTGTATGCTAATTTTTGTTGATGTTTTTTTGCAATTAAGAAAAATATGAGCCTTCTATATATACTTTTTCTTTGAAAATAGTTGACCATTTTAAATATACCATCCTTTAACTATCTGCTTATATTTCAGTTCTGAAGAGAGGCTGCACATGTTCCAGAAAGAAATAAAGATTTAACTGACTAGAGGGGAAAATTTAACTTTCAATGGGGAGGGGGGGGCACAATAATTTTTAGATTATATATTGATAATTAATTAGCCTACTTTTACAATTGAGGAGAAAGAATTTTCTCAGTGGTAGTAACATTTATCATTTTGTATAAGTATCTTAATTTTAAAAATTAAATTTGAAGATAGTTTAATTATCATGACAAATCAATGATTTAAACATCAGTATGTTCGATTTATTAGTGAGGCAGTTTTGCTTTTAAGTGTGGATAAAGTAGCTTAATTTTTAGAAAACTCTTTAATGTCTCAAAACATCAATGTGCTACCACTTTGTGAAATTTTTGTCAACGTAAATACAAGTGTGCAGTTATAGATAATGATTTAACTAGTTCTTATGATAGTAAAATAATATTGATATGTATTAACAATTTATGAACAAAATATATATTATTTTTGGGGTATTTATTATTAAAAAAATGTTGTTTACCTTGTATTCTTTAAAAAAATGTAATTGTAGCAGGTCTTATATGTTCTCTATAAAATAATTAATTTTTTAATCTTTTCTTTCTGTTATATTTTAACTACTTTAATATTTTTTATCAATCTTTGAACTTCATAAATTCTTTTGTTTTAAATTTATTTTTGTTAAGGAAAACTTCCTTAAAAAAAGAATAAAATTTTTTAACATTATATTTTGAAAATTTTAATGTTATAATTTGCATATTTTTTCCAAGTATATTAAAATTTGTTTGAAAAACAGCTATAAAGTTCTTTACACTATTTATGTAGATTTTTCCAAATCTACGTAAATAAGGTTTAGTTTGGAATGCAAAACACTCATTAATTATAAAGTACTTATAAACATTATCATATTCAAAAATTGCAGGTTATGAACCCTGCAATTTAGGTTTAAATCTTGTTATTTTTCCACAAAATAAATTTGTTTTTGTTTCCTGTGTTGTTGTAAGCGATTAATACAAATTTATCTAATTAAGATAAACAGGTTAAAGACTTAAATTTCTTATATAATTTATATATTATTATTTTTTTTACCAATTCTTATTTCCATTGTATTCGTAAATTTATTGTATTTAGAGACTGAATATTTTTATCTTATATTGTAGTTAAGACTTTGAATAGTTTTATTATTATTTTTATAAACAGAATATTTTTACTTTGATAAAAATAATATTAATAATATTTATCATATTATAATTTTATTATTAATTTGTTATTTTATTAACTAATTTATAGTTTTGCTTTTTTTTATCACATTCATTAATAATTGCATAGTTTAGTTTTGAAAACCAGCTCATTTCCAAAAAATTAAAAATCAGTTTGTTTCGATTAGAGTTTTGATTTCTTCAAGAGTAGCACAGTTTTTCCAATGATATTTAAAAATTTACTGCTTTACCTTTCAATTTAATATATATATTACTTTTTGTTTAAAATTAAAATTTAGGGTTTTTGAATATCTTTTTAAAAACTTTATTATACATTATTCAGTTTCCCATGCTGCTGGTAAAGAATTTTTCAAAAATTCATTTTTTATTAAATCCTTATTTTGCATTGGACTCAATTTGTGATACCATTGGATTTTGTTACCAAGGTGATTTGTACTTTGCACAGTAAAGCCACTTTCAGCCATGAAACTTTTCAACCCTAACAATAGTGTGGATTGAGCTGGTTTTGAAAGCAAATGATTCACATTATTGGATCTAATTGTATTAATAACAAGTGAAAATTTATATTGTTACAGACCTGTTTCAAAGTGATATTTTGTTAGATCAGTACCCTGATTCTATCGACGACAGAGGTTATCTATTTACTCCTTATGAACCCATAGAAGATGAACCCATTCCAGAAGTATCTCCACAATCAAAAATAACATGTATGTATTGTTCTAAAGTATTTGCACACAAACGATATTTAGTGGATCATTTAAATACTCATACAGGGAAAAAGCCGCACATCTGTAAATATTGTTCTAAAGCTTTTACCCAAAGAGCATCTAGAAATCGGCATGTAAAACTTTGTCACAAAGATATTATAAGTCAATTGAATGATATAAACAATTTATTGTGATCTATATTTCTGCTGTACTATGTTTAATAAAATTGCTATTGTCCAAGAATCATAAGTTTTTCTATTTCATTTGTAAAATTTTTCTATTGCTTTTTGAAATATCAATAATGAGATTAGTAAATGGGTTAAAAAGTTACCGTTTATATGTGGGTAAAAAAGGCTCTTGTGTCGCTATTTTGATATGCTAAAGTTATGAATGGCTTTAAGTCCTTTTAAATTTTACATATGATACTTCTTTTTTTTTTGTTGTTCTGACAAGTTGTAATTGAAATTAAATTTTTTATAATTGAGTTCACTACCTGTTTAATAAACAGGCTATTTTGCACTTTTTTGGAGGATTTAGTTGAGTAACTTCAACAGCTGGTTCTTTGCATTTCTCCCAGTTCAATTTCTATTTAACTTTAGTTAAAAATAATTGAGATTGCATGTATTTGTATGTTTCTATTTTCTACAACACAGAAAAGATTAAAGATAGGGAAAGGCAAAACACACATATATTTCTGCAATACAGATAGGGAAAAGAAATTTTAAAAATATATATATACCCTCTGAGCTCCATGCATTGGTTTCTTTGGATTACTTATTTCACCTTTTTTTTCACTCCATTATTTGAAATTTCTTTTGTTTGCTATTAGATTGCATTAATCAATTTGGTTGCATATTTGCCTCTAGTAAATCTTTCAGCTTAATATCAGTAACAAAAATGACTGGAGACCCATAATTTATGTCACATTTTATTACAACACTTAGATTTCTGTTAACAAATATGTTTTTGTTTTTAAATTTTATTACATCACACAATATCATAGCAGTTATACAAAGCATACCGAAATTTATTGTGATAAAGTAGTTAGTGATTGTCCAGCAGTCTTGTTAAATGAATTTTGATGTATGATTTCAAGATATCTTCCTCTCATTCATTTTACACAAAATGAATGTAACAACTGACATTCATGACACATTTGGAATCTTTCTCCTTAGATATGTACAACAGAACCACACATGATTGTTTTATCATCATCAATAATTAAATAACAAAATTTTGTTATCATTCAGACATAGTTGAATAAGATATTAAGAGACGTTGCATCATAAAATTATATATTTATAAAATAACATAACTACTTTGGATTATATTTTTAAATTTGTGTTTGGTCTATTGTAGAACTCCAGTTTTTCATGCAAATCTAATTTTGATCATCAAATGTTATAGAAACTTGACCCTACAAAATTCTTTTAACAATAATCAATTTTTTTTTTAAAACTCTGTATGTATTACTAGTTGCTTTCAGTATGCCACCAATGAGCACCAAATACTTTAAAGATTTTCTAGCAGAACATATTAAATGTTTGAAAAAGATTTGTACAACTTAAGTGAAATTAGTTTTGTATCTGAAGCAGCCATTTTCACGTGCAAGGGGGTTTTGATGATCGTTCGTATGTGTAGCTCTTGTATATCCATTAGATGTCACATTACAGAGTGACATGTTATATCTACGTCACTTATATCACATAAATGGAATTAGTGATATAACTATCAAATCACTGTAAATAGATAACACAATTAACTTTTATTTGTGTTACAGCATAATGCCAAAACGAAAAACACTAAAAACCATATGTTGTGTCAATAAAAGAATGACTTTTTTTAAAATAATTAATAACAGTGTCACATATTGGCATAACATGATTATGCAAAAATTTTGCCAATCTGTTATGAATTAAGTCCAAACTACTTTAATTTTATTAGTTACAAAAGTGATAAATTTCATAGTGAAAATGCATAGTATTTTGTTTTTAGCTTATTAGACAAAAAGTTTTATTTTATTTTACAATTAAATTATTTGTTCAATAAATTTGGATAATTATATTAATGTACTTTAATTGGCTGAAAATTTTAATAATCTCAAATTCTTCAAATATTATAAATTACAGCTTTGATGAAACATAGTTATTTCACCTCTAGCATACTATTTCAAAGACTGATAAAAAATTTGTTTCAATAAAGATGGTCTTCTATTTTAAAATTGATTGATAAATTAAATTGGATATTGATGTATCCTAATCACCCAAAATTTCATTAAACTTTTCGAAGTTCAATTCAAAAGTTTAATACTTACAAGATTAAAGAAAAATAGTTACATATTTCCCTCTGAGAATATAATTATCATTTAATATATTCTATTGTTAAAATATTTTTTTAGCGTTTTTATACTTTTTAATTGGTTTTGGCCACCATTGATAATTTCTTATTTTTCTGAAATCCAGTAGACACCTTATTTTGTCTGGAAAATAATACAGATGAACTTCATTAACACGAACTTGCTTAACAGGAAATATCGCCTCACATGAAACACGTGTTTGGTCCTGTGAGTCAGCAATTAATTATTATTGTATTTTACACGAAATTTTCAAGCTGATTGAAAGGAAACTGGACACAACACAGATAATAAATAAGCATGTGAATAAAATTTCAATAATTCATTTTAAGGAATGCTATTTCTATTTTCTTCCGTTTTTAGAAGTAGAAGATGATCAAATAAATTAAATAGTAAAAATAAAAAAGTTTAATAAAGAGTTAAACTTTTCATTTTATTTTAATTTGTTTGGTTCATAATAATATTGTTTGCATACATTGATGTAGTACATAACATGTATTGTTGTTGTCGTGTGTATGCAAGCAGTGCTAGTGCAAAGATTAGAGTCCTCCAAAAGTCTTGATAACAAGATTTGCAAGTTCTGGAGCCCGATGGCCGTGGAGAATTTCGATGGGGGGTGCTCCTAGTTGAAAGAGGGAGCCGATAATGGCCTGGCCTGGCAGTCAAAAACATGGTCTGCAGTTAGTTGCAAAAGAGGACAGTACTTGCAGATGGGATAGGATTTTATATTGGTGCTTGAGATCTTCATGCCTTTGAAATGTCTAGTACGTAGCCTAGGCATGTACTAGACATTTCAAAGGCATGTATTAATAATAAGTAATACATTTTTTTAATGATGTATCAGATAAAACAAATTTTGGTTAACATGAAATAATTAGGATAGATTAACCGATTTTGCTAAAAAAGGCTCGATTGTAATTAGATATTCACATAGCTGGAGTTCTACCGTTCTTCATTGTTAAAAACTCTTATTTTGTATTACAAATAAAATTTTTCGAGAAACCCAATTACAATAAAAACTGAAACTTTTAATGAAATTGCTTCTCAATTGTCTTAATGTAGTTCATGTATTAATTAACTTGTCTAAATTTATTTCTAATGTAATAATTTATTACTTGTTTTTAACAATTTTTAAATTTCCACACCCTGAAATTGATTTAAATAACAATTAATTTTATTAATATCTTAGGTTTTGATCAAATGACACAATTTGTTTTGTTTAATTTAATCAATTATAAAAAAAACATTGTATAAAAAAATATACTTAGTTGATCACTAGTAAACGGTATTAGTGATTCAAATATTATTCGTTCTGTAAGTTTAAACATAAATATTATGAGAATTAAATTTACTGATGGTCATATTTTTTTTTGAATTATAAGCTTTTAAAATATAGTCATGCTAACCCTGTGTTCATTGAAGTCCCATCTTCTACTAAACTTTCAGTTGATGCATAAAAAAAAAACTTTTGTTCCCCTTCCCCCCTATGTCATCCAGAGGTGCCAATCATTACAATTAACCTTACATACATTAATTATTGACATTTCATTGTCAAGAATTGTGGTTGAGTAATAAAAATTGCAGCTATTGAGAATTTTCGTAATAATTTGTTTCAAATGCATTCCCCGCCCCCTTAACTACCGATAGTATGAAATTTTGTTGTTTGTAGCCAGTCTATGATAATTTTTTTTCTATTCCGTAAACAATTCTAAAAGAGATAAAGAATAAAAGTGATTCTTTTGAAACAAGAAACAAAAAGTAATAAGAGCATCGAACACTACCCCATCCTCCTAGCTATTTTTAAAAAGATGACTAGTTTAAAATTTAATCGAAACGCAAAACAATGGTTTCAAGTAATCAATTTATCATTTTATAAAGAGGGATACATTTTAATTTGGTACCTTTGAGTTAGTGTTATTCTTTTTATTTAATAGTGAAATTCATGCATAATTTTGTTAATATTATGTACCTATATGGAATTAAGTAATATATATATGCACATTAAAATTGTGCTAATCTTAATTGTGTTATCTCTAACTAATAACTGTAAATTTCTGATTAGTGATAGCTAGTTTGGAAAGTTGGCACCTCTTGTTGATGAGAAAGTAGTATGTCACCAGGAAATTTCAGAGCACCTGTAGTGCTAAATTAGACGCCTTTTCATTCTAAATATAAATGTTTTCTGTTTGAAATATTCAAAATTGAAATAGATTTCAATTGCAATTTTTTCCTCTATCAAAACAGGCATATTGTATTAATTATGATGCTTCTTGGAATAAGAAATAATGTTCTTCTAACTAAATGCACTAAACGATTGACTAAAACTCTAAATAGAGCATACAGCATAGTAGGTGCTTCGTTGTTTCAAGATGTACAGTTAGTTATGTTTATTGCAATCTTAATCTCCATAATTTTTAAATATAAATAAGACTACTTTATTTTTCTTTTGTATTTTACGAAAATATGTTTATATTAATAAAAAAATGTATAAATCTAGTTATATATAATAGATTATTTTTAAAATTTTAATATAATAACTAAAAGCAATAGCTCAAATCGTTTTCTAATCTAAATGTAATCTAACTATTTTATTTTCATATCGTAGGCACTCTCAAGAGTTTATAAAATGGTTTGATCATTTAAAGATAAGTGTCAAAATGTGATAAATGTAAATGTTTGCATGGTATTTTCAAAAGGAAATTGTTTTTTAGATTTAATGTACATTTGTCGTTTAGCTGAAGAAATTATTTCAATAAATATGGTTTTGATAAATAAACAATTTATTCTTAAATATTATGGTTGTTAGCTGTTTAATTTTGAAAACATCCTAAAATATAATTTTATTATAATATTTAAAATAATATAACTATATAGGTGCAGCAGATTTTATTTTTTAAAAACTTATTTATAATTATTTGAGCCAATTGCAAAATTCAGTGTTTGTGTTGTCGAAGATATTCAGCTGGCTTTAAAAAGTATAAAAAATAGTGAAAAAATAAGGTAGTCATAAATAATGTTTTAAATATTTCTAGGTAATTAAGGTAAAGTACTTCCATCCTTAATAGTTGAGATAATTTTTATTATATCAGAAATTATTTTCAGATTACTAATAAGTACTAGTAAGTACTAATGAAGTTTTATTGAAGTATTTGTAATAATCTAATTATTTCTAATGAATACTTGTATTGCATATAAAACAGAATAAATTAACAGATTATGTATTTTCTGGCCATCTCAAGATGAACCCTTTTCTTCACTGGGAACTCATCTCGTGACTTCCAGACTATACTTCACTTTTAAATTGTTTATTTAAAAGCAAATCACAATACAAATATCAATGTCTTGTGCAAATTTGTGTGCATCTTGCTGTACAAGGTTAATTGGTGTAAGCCTTAAGCATATTCATGAAACAACATAATATTTATCATATTGAATTTTTCATCATGATGCTAAGTGCCAAATTGTTGTGCTCATGCAAATGCTTCTTTGAGTTTATGTTACTAGAGCTAATTAAAAAACTGTATGTTTCTGATTTTGAGATTTTTTTTTAAATGTTCATAATTTTATTTGCAACATATAAAATTAATTACTTGGTTAATTATTTTAAATTTTTTTAAGCATCTTTTTTTTTTTTAGCTAAGTCGGAAAAAACAGAGAGCATTTTAAGTTATCACAGCTGGCAGAGTATATATATATATTTATTTACTTGTTTACACTTACTTTTTATATATTAGAATTCATTTATTTTTCAACTTTAGTTATTTAATTTTATAGCAGCAACTTTAAACAAAATCCTAAAATGTTCTCAGTTGTTTTTCTTGGAAGACAATTTTGTGTTCACAGTGTAAGGAATAAATAGGAATATTATAAGTAGAGAAGATACTTACTTTATAAGTGAAGATCACTCAATATTAAGCAGATTGATAACAGAATTCATTTTTTTAAAATGTTTTTGTGATATGTATTATATTCATTAATATAATTTGTACAATACTTATTAAGTGTAACCTGTAATAAATTTTTTATTATAGTATACGAACTGCACCATAATTTTTTGTTTTTGCAACTTTCTGTGCTCGTAACATATGAAATATAATCTTTCCATGTTTACAATTTTATTTAATTACATTTAAATTGAAAAGGTTTTTAGTCTTAAGTAATTTCTTTCATCATTTGAATGCATTATCCATTAACAATTTCTTTTTTCCTTTTTAAGAGTAAAGAATTAGGCACTCAAAATTTTAATCCACTGGTGAAAATGGGAAAATTAAAAGTGTTTCTTGTGTTTTTTTAAAAAAATATGTAACGGTTTTTTAAAGGAGAAAAAAAAACGAAATTTAAATGCATAAATAATTTGGATTTAATTTAAATCCAAGCTTTAAATATTAAATAATTTTTGTAATAATTCAAACGTTATGTTAAGACTAATTTTAAGCTCTTATGAATGGGTAGTTTCATTTTTTTAAAGATGTGTGATATCATTTTACAATTCAGTTGCTTAACATTATTTTAATTTACATGTCTATATTTTAAGAAATTGATTAATAAGTAAATAAGCGTATAATATACCTTTAATAAGTATGTTTAACTGCGGTATTAATTCATTTGTGTATCGCGCTTAACCTGCCTTTCTGGTCCACTTGCGGTATAAGCCATTAGCAAAAGGTTAATCCAAAGAATTTATTGTCTGATATCATTCTTTCTTGCTTGCCTCTCCGAAAACCACAATTGATGTCTTTTTAATGGTAGATTTATTCTTCCATTACAAGGTTATACAATTTGTAGAGATTTAATGAAAATTAAAAAATATATATATCTTTGCAGTAAAAAAAAAATTAAAATAAATAAAATAAAATGATGGTTTAAGAAAACATCCTAATCTTTTCAGTTTTTTTTTTCCAGTTTTGCCAGAAGTTGTTTATTTTGGGGGTAGAAGTGGTAATGATATTCACTAACAATATAACTCTAAGTACTAGCTTTAAGTAGGAAAGTAAGTTTATTAAGAAAGTAATTTAGATGAATGGTAAAATTTGGAAAATTGAAGTTGTAAATCCAGAGATCCAAATTGTACAAATTAATTTTAAATTTCTTTATTTTTAAAATAAAGTTACTGTTTAGCAATCATTTTTGTAAATTCCTTTTTTAATGAAACATTTAAGAGTAAGAGAATGTTAAAATTTTTGGCAGTTGTGTCAAAATTTATGTTAAAAATTTTAAAGCTTTATTATTTCTGTTAAAATTTTATTAACATTGTGAAAGTGAGCTTTTGAAAAATGTAGCATATTTTATAAATGTATTAATTGTTTGCAAAAATGATTAAATTGTTGCTGTTCTAACGATATTTGCTGAACTGAACTTCAGCGTTCAAAAATAAATAAAAGTTTGGGTCAAATTGTTATTTAACGGAACACTATCAGTTAAAGGAAATGGTCTCTATTTTGTTTGATAGCAGTTTAAATAATAATTGTAAATATAATTTTAATCTGAATAATTGAAGGAAAAATTCCTTTAGTGCATTAAATTTAAAAAGCATTTACATAGTTATTAGTCATAATTAGTAATAAATCTATGCTAAATATATTTTTATATTTTTTCATAAGCAATAGCTTTTTATATTTATAACCGCTGTATCTTCAAAAATATGTTTCAAGATGTACGAGTTTTAAAATTGTTCTAATTACCGAGCTCAATCATTTGCAGATCTAAGAAATATTTTTACATATCTCTAGTAATATAAGCTCCATTGCATATTAATAATGTGGGGAAAATGTTGCATGGAATAAATATATATATACATAATGAAAATAAGTATTTCACACATTTTTTTCAGTTAGTAGTAGATTAGGCAGTATATATTTTCTCATGGCAATGACACATCTGTCTGGCTTCCATTTCACACTTCCTTTAAATACTTAAGTGGACAGCTGTATGTCTTATCATTAGCACCTGTTCTTATCATTACCATGCCATCTCTTTCATCACCCACTTGGATAATTATCTGAAAATAAATATAATATTAATGATAAGTACAGTATGCTGGTACATAGTATGTACTATAATCCAGAAAAACTTAAAATATTTTTTTTGCTTCCTGAAAAATTTATGAACAGAATAATGTAAGAGATAACTTTTTAAGAGTTAAGAGACAATAATCTCTATTTTTTTTCGTTCAAAAATATGTCAGGGTACCAAAATATGATATTTTGAAACATTTGTTTTTTAAGAAATTCATGAACAATTGGCGATCGAATGGGCTGCAGCAGAACTCTCTACCTATGGCAACACTTCGCACGCTTTCCCCATTAGCGTGTGGAGATAGTCATAGAAGAAGGAAGTACGTTAGTTTCTTTCTTGATTTTCATTTACATTAAAATCTTTTAAGTTAGGAAACTACATGGAGCTGAAAACTACATTATATACACAGTTCTGAAGAAAAGCATCACGAAAATTTTGAAAACTATTTTTAATAAATAAAAAGGAAAAATATTAAGAAAAGGGAAAATATTGTAGTACATTCCTATACAACTGAAAAGAGAAGGAGAGGGAAGGGAGATGGACCAAAGGCATATGAGCGTTGCGATCGCCAATAGATAAGATAATTATAATAGAAGATAATTGCTGTATTAGTTAAAAGTCAATTATAATTACCTTAGTTGTTCAGAAACTTATCAAAGCACTAAGAGATTTTTTTGTAATCAAGTTTTTGAATTTTTTTTTCTCCTTGTAAAGTTTATTAAGACAAAATGATAAAGATATTGTCAAGCTATTGTCAGCGAAACAATTATCTCCTCCATGGCTTTGTTTGGAAACTTGTCAGGGTAAAATCCTGTTTTAATTACCGGGGTAATTTGGCTCAATTTTTACAATATAATAAAACACCATTTTCTCAGAAATATCTTACAATTAGCTTTAAAATTTCGTATAGTTACAAGTTATTGTAGTAAAGTATTTTGTTGTCTGAAATATGTCTCTGATTGTTATATTTCATTGAAAAAAAAACTGTATTTTAAATTATGCAAAAGAGAATGATTTTTCATAAGTGGTTCTTACAATCGAAAATTTTTGGAATTTTTTTTTCTGTTATTGAATTTTCATCTTTTAATCAAATACCTAGGAATGTTCCTCTGTTTTCCTACAATAATGATCTATTTTTTTAAAGAATATTTTTTATTTATTTAACAAGAAGTCCTCTTACTTGATCGCTTAGTAATTTGTTGCTGTTCCCTTCATTGTCACTCACATGCACTGCATGGATGACTTGTAGTGGTTGTTCACCAGGATGCAGCCTAGTCACATACATTGATGGGAAAAATCCAATCCTACCCATACATTTACCCTGAAATATAGATCGAAATAAATCTTTAAATGGATGTGCAAAAAAAACTATTTATAATTGTTGCATTCCTCTAATAATGTGAAAATATCTCACTATACTTCCTGTTATTTATTATGTGGGTTTAAAGAGAACTTTTTAATCCTATGGGAATCATGGGTGGCGCGCCACACTGTTGAACGGTAAATTTGAGGGTTCAAAATTAACCGACTCAAATTCGATTTAAACTAGGGTTGGCAAGTTTTTGACAATTGATAGTTTTATCCCTCGTGACAAAAAAAAAAAACCTTTTGGACATAATTTTTGAGAAGTGCCAAAATTTTAGTATAAGGATAATTATTAGTTTTATAATAAATAAGAATATTCATAAATAAACATACATATAAAATTACAATTAAATATGTTATTGAATTATTTTGATATTAAACTTTCTTTTTTATTTTGACAATTACTGTCAAAAACCCAAATTTTTAAATTCAAAATATTAAACAATTACCGTAAACCGGGGTGAGTCTACCCATTTTTTCAGTTTGTCAACTTTCAAGTGGTCAAACTTTTGTAAATATTAAAGAAAAAAGGCTTTTAATAGGTGTTTCGGAATCGCTATTTATCCCTCTTTAAAGCTGTGAAATCGATTTTAGAAAATATTAACAGTTACGCTGTTACTGTATATTTTTATAGAACTGCTGACAAATCTCTCGTATGGGGCGAGTCTACCCATTCTACTAAAATGAATGTTAACATTGTAAATAATCAAATTTTACTATTAAATTGTTATTTTAGTTACTATATAGGATATTTATGAAGTAAAATTCATAACTTTATTATATATTCCATTTTTTTATTCATAAAATAACACAAATTGAGTATTTGATCGATTATCACATTTTGATCACAGTTTTGTTTTTATAATCATTAACATTATAAAATAACATTTTTTTCTGATTATTGTTGATAAAAATAAATTAAAATTAATATAAATTTACAATTAAATAATTAATAAATAATAATAATTAAAGATTATTAACAAAATCGAAATTCAAACATTGGGAATCATGAAAAATCCTTTTCCCATTCTTTTGGGAGGTAATAATAATTTATAAATAATAATTTATTTAACTTGCATTAAATAAAAAAAGTTAATTTTGTAATATAAAAATTGAAAAAATAGGTAAAATAAACATATTTTATATTTACATTTATATTTAACCTATAAATTTTCTTATTAATGATAAATTTATCAATGCAGAATTAAAATAATATACTCAAATTCATTTAAAATGACTTAATTTTAATATAAACAAAGTTCTAAATTATATTATTATGCTTTATTAAAACTAAATACGAATGGGTAGACTCGCCCCGCGAATTCTGGCTTTTTGTTTACAACAGCAAAACTTACATTCTTTTTGTTTTTTTTCATATAAAATTAATGTAATCTTAGTCTTAGATAAGTTTATCACTTAACCAAAGTGAAAATAGTAATAATAATAATATACTTACGGAGCACCAACTAAAAGTTTGCTGATTTTCAATACAAATCTCTCAAAAGACGTTTGAACAGGTCGGTTAAAAAGACACCAAATAAATAAAAACGGATCAAACTACTACAGCGCCATCTTCCTTAGAGTCTGAACTAAGTCCTCCGTCGGTAAAATTTTTTTTATTTGCAATTTAAAATAGTGAAAATTAAATAAAACTAAAATGGGTAGACTCGCCCTGGTTTACGATATAAATAAAGATGTGCTAAATTTAAATTTATCCGATCTGTTATCTTCTTAAATTATTTGAAAATAAAACTACAAACACGATCAGCTTTAAAAAGCACTTAACAATAATCTCTATCATTTTATATGTAATCAAATTTCATTTAGTACTCTTATTTTAACTCTTCCTTCTCCGAAAATATGTAATAAAAAAATAATAATAATAAAATTGAAGCTTTCTGTACTTTCAATTCATTTTTCAGAATTTTTATAAATAATACAGAAATTCAAAACTAATTTCTCGATTGATGCTGAGCTGCATAGTTTAGAAAGTGGACATACTGAAGATATTATAACAATAAAATATCATGTAACTAACAAATTTATACTAATAACCGTACTGAATATTAATAGTAATTTAATTAAATCCTTGAATTGATTGATTGAAAAAATTATTAACTAATTTAAATAAACATTTGTATTTTTTTTATAAATTGCAATTAGTTGACTAATCAGGGAACTATAATTATACATTAATATAATGGAGAGGAGCCGCGATGGTTTAGGGGATAGAGCTTTCGAGCCCCCAATGAGGTGAACCGGGTTCGAATCCCGGCGATGGCTGGTCGAAACGAATTCCACACCCGGCTTGCACCGACCACAGTGCTGACGTGAAATATCCTCAGTGGTTGACGGATCATGGGATAGGAGACCCCTTGACGTCAGACTAACCGTGGGTGGTTCTCGTGGTCTTTCACTCCATGTAACGCAAATGCGGGTTAGTTCCATCTAAAAGTCCTCCTCGAAGCCAAATTTCTCCTAGTGTTTGATCCAGGAGTTCCATTGTCTTCTGGATCGGGTTCAAAATTACAAAGCTACAGAGTTTAACATTAGCAATCGGAAACTCAAACAATTAAGTTGGCTGTTCACAGACGGTTATAAAATAAAATAATTGGGGAACACTTTTAATTTTACTTAATCTGAAAAATCTGCAGAAATTAAAACATAGAATCAAATTAAAATCAATATTTAGATTGATAATGATTGACAACTCATAGTTATTGCCTGTAATATAAGTTGAATAGCTATAATATGGGTCTCAAAGTTTTAAGATTATCATTCGAAAAACTAATTAATATGTGATCTATAATATAAATCATAATTACAGAAGTATACAATGCAAATATTGTGGATGATTTAGTATCCAATAAAATGTCTCTAATGTCAAAAGGCAACTTGCCCCTGGTTTTTGACAGTTTATGATTATTTTTGACAGGTTTTTGGCGCGTCATCTCAAAAACTAATTCTTAACGTCAAAACTCGAACCCTGATTTAAACCAAACTAATGGTAAATAAAATCTCACATTTTAAATTTTTTCATATATTACATTTAATTAGTATTCTTTTTTATATTTTGGTTAAAATAAAGTACTTTGTATTCTCAATAAATCAATATGATTTGAAATTTTTTTTTATAACCGTCGTTGAACAGCAGACTCAATTTTGAGTTTACGATTACATATCTTCAACTCCGCAGCCTTGTCATTTTGAACCCAATCTAGAAGACAAGGGAACACCTGGATCAAGTATTGGGAGAAATTTGCCTTCCTGGAGGACATTATGATGGAACTAACCCGCATTTTCATTACATGGAGAGGAAAACCTCCCACGATTAGTCTCACAGCAAGGAAATGCTAAACCATGATCCGTCCACCACTGAAGATATTTTACGTCAGCGCTGTGGTCGGTGCAAGTCGCATGCGGAATTTGTATCGACCAGCCATTGCTGGGATTCGAACCCGGTTTACCTCAATGAAAGGCGAATGCTCTATCCTCTGAGTCATCAAGGCTCGATTTGAATTATTAAAGCTAAATGTGGGGGGGGGGNGGGTAAATAAGAAATGTTGTTTTTTATAACTTCATTCTAGATGCTTTATTATTGACGAATTTTTACACGAATTTTCTTCAAGATATACAAAATTAAATAATTCAATATTTACAAAATTAAATAATTCAACATGTCATTTGTTTGTCGTGCGCATACAGTTCTTAACTATTTTTAGTTTCCCTCTTATTCCTGGCTATTGTAACTGGAGCTGTTAGTGGTAGACGGTATAAACGATTTACAGAAGGCAATAACAATTTAAAGATTTTGGATGTATTTACTACACCTGATAACTTTTTTCTTCAACACACCGATTGGGAAAAACTTCTAATTCTTTTTGAGTTTGAGTGACAAAATAATTTTGCAGAGGAAAACGTGTCATGACAAGTTTGAAATTTGCTTTAGATTAAAATGTTGTAGACAAAGGCGGGTGTAGCTAGTCGTACAATGGTTTAAAAAGCGTGATATATTATTCTAAGTTTTATATTTTCGGAAATCGCTAAGACAATTCAACAAGAAAAAAGATTTACGTTGAAGAAAAAAAAAGTTTTTTAATTTTCTCTCTCTTTTTTTTGGTGACAAAAGCCATGCTTTCATTTTCAGCTTTTCTAAAACAACGTCGTAGTTTAGCTATGGCAACGAAAAACTCTTCACTAAAATGAAATTCGTATTGTAAAAAAAGTTTTTTAATAAAAGAAATAAATAAACGTTTTTGTTTATTAGTATAGTAAAATAAGTTTATGCAAATACAGAAGCTCTTTTTAGTGAAATCACATTATGTTTCCCGTTAGCACGTAATTCAGCACTGTTGCCAACATTTTTTTGAAATTTTATTTTTCAAAGAACATTTTTAACTTACCTCCCACCAGTTCGGATCTCTTGTGTCTGTAACTGTGATAATACAGCCAGCTCTAAGGGGGGAAAAATAGAAATTTTTAGCGAGTAATATCGAACAGAATGTAGTGAAACAAATTTGTTTCTATCGATATTTGATAACGGAAATCAATTATTAGTTTAACTTAGAAATTATATTAAATAAAATTAGATTAATTGCAAAAATTTCTATTTACACAAAAACCAATTGAAAATCATGTCCCGTCCGCGTATTTCTATTGGATAGATAAATCATGTGCTATAATCTAGTTCTCTCTTTTAAAAACAAAGATCTCTTTGGTTGTCATCAGCATAAGTTAATGGCATTTTTAAAAATATCGTTCTGTGAATATTTTTGTTTACCCCCTATTTAAAGGTATTAACCAACTTATAACATTATTAAACAGTATAATGAGTTATGTATTTTATTAGAAATTTTGTATAAAATTTTAAGTCAATGTCTAGTTATCATCCTTTCTTACTAAGCTTTTGATTTTGATTTGTATTCTAACCTCTTCACTACTGATGTGTAAAGGAAAAATTTAGCAAAAAAAATAAAAATATTTTATAGTTCCGAATTCGTATTTTACTGCCATAAGTAATAATGAGATAAGGAAAATATGAATTATGCTGCCAGGAGGCTAATAATTTTAGGTACATATACGCGGACCTCAGGTTTTTATTAAGTAAAAGAATATAAAGACCGGATTCAGGAAGGGGAAAACCACCTCAGAGCAAATTTTTAACATCCGGCAAATTTTGGAGAAGACAATAGAATTTGGTATTAACACGCACCATCTGTTTACTGATTTTTAAAACAGCCTACGATAGTGTTAACCGAAAAACTCTAATATCAGTTTTAAGAGAATTTTATATACCGGAGAAACTAGTGAAGCTGATTGACTTGACACTAAAAGTGAATCCAAAATCATGGTCAAGATACAGAATAGTTTTTTTCCATCCAATAGAAATTAAAAATGGTGTACGACAGGGAGGTGACTTGGCATGTCTCCTCTTTAATCTAGCTTTAGAAAAAAGAATAAGGAACTCAAACACCAACACCTGAGGAAATATCTTCAACAAATCAGTTCAAATATTGGCTTCTGCTGATGATTTAGATATTATCGCTGGAAAGCAGACAGCACTAACACAATTCTTTTTATGTCTGGCGAAAAAAGCCATTAAGATGGGATTACGAATCAATGAAAATAAAACTAAATATATGCCCTGCGCAAAAGCTGGCTATGAAGAAACACAGTTTGAAATTGGAGCATACAAATTAGAAGCCGTTGATAGCTTTACCTATTTGGGGTCTAAGATTAACAACAAAAACGACACTACACAAGAAATACACACGAGAATCACGATGGCCAATAAGTGTTTTTATGGCTCAAGAAAATATCTTAAGTCAAGCCTAATAAAAAGAAAAACAAAAGTGTTACTCTATAAATGTCTTATACGACCAGTGCTTACATACGCATGTGAGACCTGGACAATGACTCGTGGAGATGAAAATATGATAGCTAGATTTGAGAGAAAAATACTGCGAAGCATTTTTGGTGGAATAAGTAAAAACGGTACCTGGTTTAGAAGATCAAACACGGAACTTTACAAAGCATATAAAGAACCTGACGTCATTAAATGTATCAAAATTCAAAGGATTAAATTTGCAGGCTACATTGTGAGAATGGAGGATAGCAGGACAACCAAAAAAGTTTCCAGTGCCAGGCCAACGGGTACAAGAAAAAGAGGACGACCAAACCGAAGATTTTTAGACTGCCTTGAAAAGGACCTACAAGTTTTAAAGATAGTAAACTGGAGAACCTTGACTAAGGGAAGAATGTCTTGGCATAGGCTTGTTGAGAAGGCCAGGGCCCATCCTGGGCTGTCGTGCCAATGAGAAGAAGAAGAAAAGAATATAAATATTTAATGAAAAGATTTAATAGTAATTTAGAAAGAAAATATATTTAAAAATCTAAGCACATTGCAATACTGCTTTAAAAATCAGTTTCAAAACTAGTTTAATTATGCATACCACACAAAATAAATAATTATTAAAACTAATCTAACAGTAATTATTAAAAAATATTTAATACTTGGGAGTGAAGTTTCAAAATTATGGAAAAAAAACACGAAAAGTTAGTTATTAAATATAAGTATGTAAGAAAAACTAATTAAAATACACATAAAAATATTACTAAATCCATATAATAGATGTAAAGGATATTGGATGGATATAAAGTGAATATACACTATTTTTCATTATTATGATTCCAAAAGATAAACTCTGCATAAAGTGTTACAAAAAAAATTGTTACATTAAATTTTTTTTTATTTTTTGTGACATCTTCAATTTTTTAAATTAAATTTTCAAAAGGAATACATGATTTAAAAATAAAAAAAAATTATTTACTGATTTTAAACTTTTTTATGACGGTGAAACGTTTTTTAAAAGATAAACAGATCTAATAATAATAATAATTCAAGTTTTTCATCTAAAAAGTGTTTTATTTTTGCAATCGGAAATAAACGAAAATTAAAAAAAAAAAAAAAAAAAAAAAAAAAAAAAAAAAAACATTTATCGATATTATTTTTGTTTAAAAGAATAAATAATTGCAGGGGGAGTTTTTGTAAAAGTGAAATTATTAAAACTTGGAGAATTTTTTTTGCGCATTCTAATATGAAATAATTTTTTTTTTATTCAGTAAGAATTTCGCAGCAAATTTATTTCATAATAATTATTACTTTTACAAATCTCTTATTTTGCAAGTGAAAAGAAAAGAAAAACATAATTTAAAAATTAACAAATGAATATTTAAATAGTTTTTGAATTTTAATGAGTAGATTTTTTAATACATACATTTTATATAAAGAAATAACTCATTTTTTAGCATTCAGAAGTGAAAATGCGTCATCAGCTGGGAAGTAACCATCACTCTCTCAGCTATGACGCAACCATCCGTTAATGCATACACATTTTCTGAAAACTTTTTTTTAAATATTTGTTCTACCCTATGTTCTTTAATTCGATTGGAATTCCACGAATTCGTTTCGATAGGAATTTCTACAGTTTGGTCAGGAGAGTGATACAAAGTTTGGGCCCCTTAATTTTACTTCTTGCATATTTCGCTGTAACTCGAGAACTTTTGAAATGAATTGAGAATATTTTGCATACAACTACAAAATCAGTTTGGTCAAAGAATTCAAATTTTAATAAATATTTTATATTATTTTATTTAATGAAAATCAAAAAATTTTAACTTCCAAGGTTTAAAATTTTTACTTCATTTTAAAGTATGTAATTTTACATGACAAAATACAAAATTTAGCGAAATCGTTTGGGGAAGTTCCTAAGAAATCGAATTTAAAAGAAGTCGTGTATTTAAAATTCGATTTCTTAAGAACTATTCAAACGATTTCAATTCAATAAATATTTTCAAAAAATTATTTTTCGCATGGAATTAACTTTGGATAAATGAATTTTTTTAATTGTGTGTGAAAATGTTTCAATTCAATGAAAGGTTCTCGACGCATAGCGAAATACGCAAAAATTATGTATGTTATGCATTATGCACGTAAAATTGAAATTTTGTAAGTATGTTTATTCAGAGAAAAGACGTTTTTGTGTCTGATTTCGTTCACTACTCACTGATTAGCATATTTGAGGTCACCCCGCCTCGATCATTAAGATCATTAAGATTCAAGAGTTTTAGAAAGTGAAAATCCGTTCATTATATCAAAAGCTATTCAGGTTTTTTTTCTTCCTTCTGGCGTATTCTGATTTCTTTGGGAACTAAAAGGTGCCCAAAATCCAGAAGCAAAAGGTGAAATCCAAATGAGTTTTTAAAATGAAATTAAATACTCTTCATTTTTCTTCTAAATTTTATAGTAATTTTGTAATTACTCAGGATATTTCCTGATAATTTTAAAATTTTACACAGCCCTTTAGTTTAAGAATATTTAAATAATTTTTTTTCTATTGGATATGGAAAAAGTGTGAAAATTTGAGATATTTTGTGAAACGGTCTCAAATATTTTCTACAAGTGTTAAGTTTTGGTTTTTTTCTTTTATTTAATATCACACACGATGTTATTGAATTTTGAGAATTGTAAAAAAGAAGAAAATAATTACTTCAAACTAACATTTTAGAATTAGTACGGCTTAAAACCTCTAAAAAAATGCAATTTAGAGCCACTTACTTTAGATCTATTTCGTCTTTATGACGTCCTTGGAAGTTGTATAGGACTACGTATAAATTAGTTGGCAAAAGACGATGAGGTTTCTATAAAAGCAATGAAACGTCTGTTATTCATACGAAGTTTTAAATTATGATGTAACTAAAAGAACCCGAAAATACTTTAATAAATAAGTTGGAAAGCGGGTCTGATGGAAAGCCACGAGACCCTTCTACTTCGAAATTTCAAACAGTAAAATTAAAAAGTATTTTTTTGTTTTGTTTATTGTTTTGAAACTTACAATTAAATAAAATTTTCTGTTATAATTTAAAATTAAAATAATGAAACAGCTAGGAGTATCTCAGTAAGATGCATTAATGTATGTTTCGCAGCTGTTATTCATTCTGTCCATGTCCACTAAACTATCTAGGTGTCCCTGGGGGTAGTGTTCCACTCCTCTTTCAAGGCGGCTATCAGCTCTTGCAGAGCTCGCGGGTATGGCCGGTTCTTTGTGACACCAGCCTGCCAAGAGTATCCCAGAGAAGCTCTATAGGGTTCAAGTCCGGTGAGTACGCAGGTCATAGTAAACGGATAATACCATCACTTTCTTGTGTGTCCAATTGGGCGAATTGTCGTTTGTAAACAAAAATTCTGGACCTATCACCCTCTAAAAAAGTCGAACATGATCCAGAATAATCTCTCCGCTTTACCGATGGGATGTAGCGCTGGAGATGTGAAGCGGCCATTCTGCGTGATGCCTGCCCACATCAGCAGTGCCTGGGCCACACCGATCATGTTCATGAACATACTGTTCGTGTTACCCTCTCTCTCCACATTAACTGGTGGCCAGAATGGAATGGGATTCAACGTAGAACATCATTCTGAACCACTGTTTGTCACCCCCAACCAATGCGTTATTTACACCAGCGTAATCTTTTTCGAGGACGGTGTGGTTGAAGCAATATGCATCGAACAAGCTTCCGTGCATTCAAAGCAATTTGATTTAATCACCGTTAGTTTGATCTGGCAGGTGGTTGCAAGGTCTGTGGCTATCTTATAGTCTGTCTAAGCTAGGAATTCCTTCCGCCACAAAGTCTGAGACGGTCTGGTGCTATGGAAACAAGAATGGCGCATTTTAGGGAGGGTAGCTTCACTCCAGGACTAACACAATAGATTCCCTTTCACCCGGCGACCCACCAGGGCCGCCTCGACCCACTAGGGCCGCGGGGCTTCTTTCGAGGCGGCCCTGGACCCACTCCAAAATAGTGATCCCGCTCTCCTACTTGAAATAGTCATACCTCGTTACATTAGTCACCGCCACGTCACCACCACATTAGTCACAGTCGCTCGTTACATTAGTCACCGTCTTAAGGAGCTCTTATTTTAGACAAACTATACTAGGGGTGACATTTCGGTTGCTTTTTCCCATAAAGGTTACTATATCTTTGGCTGTTTTCATCATAAAGTTAAATAATGTTATAACGGTATTAATTAATTAATTAAAGTTAATTAGTTTTAATGTATAAATGAGGTTTACCTGCCTCATTTATTGGTATTTTCCAATGAAATTTTTTAATCTTCCCCTTACAATATTATTTTTTGTTGATTTTAAATATTATTCAAAATTAAAATCTAATGGTCAAAAGTCATTTCAACTTATTACATTAATTAAACGAAGATATCACTTTAAAAAACAATTTAAGGTAAAAATATTTCTTCACCCTTCTATGATTAATGAAGGTTAAGAAAGTCATTTTTACTTTCAAAATTATTTACCAAAATCAGTCAATGCATGTAATTAAAAACTAAATACAAAATTATTATTTAAATTTCAAATGAATGATAGGAATTAATTTTTTTCACCTAGTTACTAAATAATCTCTTTTAATAAAGAATATTCAACGAATTTTTAAAGGGACCAAAAAAATTTAATAAGAATTTCAAAAAACAAGTATGTGGATGAAGTCAAAATTGTTACAGTGTACATTTATTATTGTGATGCCTCAATAGGCATTGCATATTTCCCAGCTTTTAAGGTATCTAAAATGAATTTTTTTAATCATTTTTCAATCAAAATTTAATGAAATAAACCAATTATTTAATTTTTAAAAAGCTAATATAAATATTTTATTCTTTTCTTANACCTTAAAATATCTAAAATGAATTTTTTTAATCATTTTTCAATCAAAATTTAATGAAATAAACCAATTATTTAATTTTTAAAAAGCTAATATAAATATTTTATTCTTTTCTTAACAATCACTGCAACGGTTAACATTTTATTTCAATACAAATGTAAAACTCAAATTAATTCATTGTTGCGACTAAATAGAAAACAAAATCTATTTATAACTTTTTATTCTTAATTTCTTACCCCAAAAATGTTTCAGTTACAAAGTTGTACTGATTCTCTCAGTCTTTAAGGCGATTTGTTTTCGCCAAATTATTTTCAAATGTAATAATTTTGGCTACGTTATCGTTCGATTAATTGCCAACCATGGATCTCTTCCTATGCTCCAAACTGTCCGTTGGGAACAATTCACTTACTTTTAATTTAGAATTTTAGGCGATCGGACTGGGGGCTTCTGCCTCTTAGTTTAATTGATATCTTTACAGAACCATTCCAACCGTAGAATTTATATCTTTACAGAACCATTCCAACCGCTGAATTTACATCTTTACAGAACCATTCCAACCATTGAATTCATATCTTTGCAGAACCATTCCAACCGTTGAATTTATATCTTTGCAGAACCATTCCAACCGTTGAATTTATATCGTTACAGAACCATTCCAACCGTTGAATTTATATCTTTACAGAACCATTCCAACCGTAGAATTTATATCTCTGCAGAACCATTCCAACAGTTGAATTTATATCTTTACAGAAACATTCCAACCGTTGAGTTTATATCTTTACAGAACCATTCCAACCGTTGAATATATATCTTTACAGAACCATTTCAACCGTTGAATTTATATCTTTACAGAACCATTCCAACCGTTGAATTTATATCTTTACAGAACCATTCCAACCGTTGAATTCATATCTTTACAGAAATTCTTGTTGATAAGACAATGATTCTCTCAATCCCTTTGAGGGACTTTCTTTCATTATTTCTAAGTACGGCCATATTTTCTAAATAATAAATCTTTTTTTCTTTTTCTGGTATAAGTATCCCTTTTAACAAAATTAGAATGTATATCACGCGGTCAAAAATATACTTAAATTCTACAAAAAAACTACATCCCCAATACAGTAAAGAATTTGGACTAAACTGCTAAAAAATTATATTTCATTTTTTACCTCTCATAATGGCAAACTGAAACCGTGTAACCAAATGTGTGGTCACAATTAAACTTTACTTTGTATTTTATTGTTTTCTTAGACTGGTTACCCTTATACTATACTTTATGATTAACTTAGAATGTGATTATCCTTATACTGCATTTTATAAAAGGTAGAAAATGGTGGAGAACTAAACTAACCGGTGAGGGACAAGGAGATGTAGACGCAGAACTAAGTGACTTTTCATTATCGTCTGGTAAATCTACAGAACTCATTCGAACATTCTTTGCTGCCAATAAGTGCTGCCGGCTACCGTGGATAGGACTTTGTGGAGCTGCAATAAATGAACGAATCAGTTATTTTGATGAGTTTTTTTTAAAAACCATTCTTAGTACTTCGATAAAAATAATAATAATACGCAGGGTGTGCCGTAATAGCTGCCCTTAATGGATCCAAAAGAGCAAAAATTAGGGTCGCACTTTAATATTTAAGTGAGGTATAACAGAAACGTTTTAAAACTCAGTTTATTAAACTATTGAGGTCAATTGGTTCTATTCGACAATTCTAACTGGATTTTCATTCCCTCTCTCTGACCTTAATAGTATTAGATCATTGCTTGGAAAGCCTTTTTATTCTCACTTAAATACCAATTAGTGATGTTTTGTTCTCATAGTTTTTAAACATCGTTTTCTGCTAAAAGTCTAAAGATGTGCATTTAAGACGATCATTATAGGACACTTTGATTATGAAAATCAATTTATCCTGTGCAAGTGAATATCAAAAAGTGGGAAATATCAAATAACATAAAGTAAACAAATGAAAAGTTCTGGGTTTTCAGAACAACAAACATTTTCATATTTTGCATCATGAAGGTATAAATATAGATATTACTTCATGTATTTATGTCTTGCGCATTTGGTGCATGCGATAGAAAATGTATCATGCTTTGTGGGAATTTAAATAATGTCAAGAAATAAATAAATAAAAGAGCCAAAATTACATGAAAATGTTATTTGTAATTCATTATACCAAACTCCAGAAAGATAGTCTTACAGAATTTCTTTTCAATTAATACAATCAGCTTTTCGATATTTGGCGGATTTATTATAATTTTTTTAAATCATTTCTGGAGCTTTTTGGTTCTCTTTCTTTATAGTCATAATTGGAGCAATCAATCGAAATATTGCGAATTGCAACATTTTCCTGTCTTATTAGGATTTTTATTAAATATAACTTCTAGAGGTGGTGATAAAATATAAATCAGTCGTTCAATGAAATCATTTTTTTTTAAAAAATATTAAAATTAAAGCATGCAAACAATATGATGTAAAAGTGCAACCAGAAATTGTTAGTATTTAATATTGTCTCTTTTTCCAAAATGCAGAACACCATGCTAGTATTCGATGTTAAAGAAATATATATTGAAAAAAAATACGATTTTTTTTAAACATACAAACTTTATATGGCTACTTATATGCTGTTTTAAAGCTCTCAATTGATTATTAAAGGCGAGATAAATTTTTTTAAAATCAATAATTTGATTCTTGGTCTTTCCAATTAGGGACTCTGATATGGGATTCTGGTTTTTCAGTCGAATATCTAAACATTTATGTTGTCAATCTAATAATATGTATTACATTGTGTGCAGTGCGAAGTGGTGGACTGACCAAGCTGGTGGTGTTGCCTTCTATGGACATGTTCGCTGGACTCTGGACTGTCCAGTGAAAAGCTCTTCATTCTTAGGGACAATCGCTTCCTCTGAGGACTGTGGGGTGCTGAAAAAAATAAATGGAGAAATACATACTACAATGAATTTATGAAATGTAAACTTAATTCAGTCGGAATCTTTTTACATTGAATTAAGTTACAGTAAATTCAATTCAGATTAAATGTTTATTTAACGTATTTTTCTTTACTCGGAATTTATAAAGAGTTAATTCAGAATATATGTTTCTTCATTGTATATTTTTACAATGAATTCAATAATATTTATTGTAATTGAAATTGCTTGTTTCTCTAAAGATTATTGAGAATAATTATGTACAATAATGTAATGAAATTTAAAATTATTATAATAAAAATGTACAATCCTCATAAAAACAAAACAAAATGATTTACATTTCTTCTTATTTGATTGTCCAGATGTTCATAAACACTTATCGTAATGTTTGTATTACCTATCTAATTCATGTAATTCAGCTGATATATGCATTCTCTGTTCTAAGCTTGATTAAAGTTTTATTAGTAGATAACACACATATCAGGTAAATACATTTTATTTGACTCTATTTTTTTGTGCCTCTATTGAGAGAAAATCGAAGAAAATAACTAAATTTACACTATTACAACCTCCTCAAATTTTAGGAGACCTCTGATAGTAAAAGAGGATTCGAAAATTATCCTACCATTAAATGCTTATTCGATATCGCAGATTTTTGAACCTTAAAAATTAGGCAAGATCTGACCTTATCCTTAGAGATGACCACCAAAGATTATCTTAAGAATCAGGCAAGATCTAACCTTATCCTTAGAGATGACCACCAAGGGTTATCTTAAGAATCAGGCAAGATCTAACCTTATCCTTAGAGATGACCACCAAGGATTATCTTAAGAATCAGGCAAGATCTAACCGGAACTTTAGAGCTTTGGACTAACCGGGATTATCTTAAGAATTCTGCAAGACTTAACCCTAGAATCTGGACCATCCAGGTTCACTTTATAAAGTAGTCTAACCTTAAGGTCGAATTTGTGGAATCTACTGTCCTTGAACTAGATGGAAGTTTACCTGGCTGAACTAATTTCCTGTATTAAAACATAAAAGCGCAAAGTTGGTGCCTCGAAGTTAATGAAGTAAATCAAACAATAGATGGGATTCTAAGCTTATAGCTGGATTCAATTCCAGCTATAAGCTTAGAAGTTTTTTTCTTCATATTTCTTTTTGCTGGGGGCCGGGATAGTTTGGCTGGTAGGACACTGGGCCCGAGAGATTGTCAGTTTGATCCCCGCCGGCTGAAGACTCCTCGTGTACAGAGTGGTGACTAGTGCAGGATAAATTTATCGGGATCACAAAGTCCTCCAAGTTCCTGTAACAAACCAATACCTCTGGAGATACAGGATAGAAGATTGATAGCTCTCTGGTTCAGGTCAAAATTACGATCCACGGATAGAGGGATGATGTGCGAATGTGCCCTCAATGTAAAACTGGATGTGACGTAAGCATGTTGTCTCCGGATCATTCTCAGGAAAGTTTTCCTGACCGTCACCAATAGTCTATTGTGCAGTTCTAGTGCGACGCAAATAAATGTACCAATGTTCTCTTTACTGCATATTGTACTTTTTTACAGTTTCATAAGCTGATTATTAACAAATGTAAAAAGGCTCATAAATGGATCTTGAAAAGTAAAGAGGTTTGAATATGATTTGAAAGCACTCGTAACGCAAAGAAGGAAGGTGTATTTCTTAGCATTGCGAGCAATAATATTGCAATCAAGGAATACAAATATTATTTTTCAAAGAAGTGCAACCTACTTCATAAATATTAGAACATAATAAAATATTTTTATATTATCAAAAAGTCTTATAGATGTATTCATTCAGCAAATCAACGTTGTTGAGTAATTAATTTCTACAGTTATTGATTGTGTTTTAGAAATAAAAGGATATTTTTGAACAAGAAAAACGTCATTTTAAAATGCATAGTTTAAAGCAATGTATTATTAATTTGTTTGTCCTCTCTAATCTTATCGTAACTACATGACAGAGAATTTGTAAAAAAAAAAATCATAAATATAACCTGTTTTTAAGTGAAGCATAATATTGATAAAATGTTTTAAATTTAGAACATATGAAAGAACATCAAACCAATTGACAAATGTTGCAGAAAATTGATCTACAACATTTTCAATCAATTTTTAATTTTCTGAAATCAAGATATTTTATTAGCAAGATATTGATTGAACGTCTGGTAAGCAAAGATATTTTATGAAATCAAAATGTATTTGTTAAAGATATTTTATTAAACCTTATATATAGATACATTTATAAAATCACGATGAAAAAAGAAATAAATTTTACGCAATAATATGTTAAAATTTTTTTATGGATTGCTATTGTTGGAATAACTTAAACAACCTCGAGATGATTGTAAAATAGCTTTGTCAATTTATGAGAACTTGTCAAGTATATCGTTCGAGAAATTTTGTATGAATGCATTGCAAAGTTCGAGAATAATGTAAACGATTACTGAACTCTCTCTGTTAGAATACAGAGAAAATACTAATACTCCGTTGCAAGTTCAAAAGACCATTATGGTATAGGATTTACAGTCCCTGCCCAAATTATTAGACGAACTATAATATTCTATGTAAATTCTTAATTATCAGGTCATACTTTATTATTTTTACGTCTGCACTTGCTTACGTTCGTATCTCAATTGGTTAACTTTGTAATGCAATACGTTAAAAATAAATACTAATAGGAAGCATATAAAAATCTCCTGTACATAAACCCATGACATATATGTTGAAATATAAAAATATTGCATATAAACTCGTGCAAATCATGTAATTATTAAAAAAACTACAGTGCGTCTAATAATTTGGTGTAGTTATTATAAATTACTAATATAACTCCTGATATAATAAATATTCGATATTTATGGAATATATCATCTAATTTATCCTATCGTCGAATTTATATTATATATCGTCCAGTTTAACCAATTGATACACTAACGTAAACAAGTGCAAACCGGTTTCAGTCACGTAAAGACAATAAAGCTGTAGAGTATTACCTGGTAATTAAGATTTTACGTAGAATCTTAAAGTGCGCCTAATAATTTGGCTAGAGACTGTAAATAATGATCCGTGACTACATATAATAGTTCCGTTTTATTTCGTTATCAAATTATACACATATGCTTTCAAAACAAAATAAAAACCTTTTGAAGTTCAACACGTCAGACAGAAATTTAATTCGCGTTGTCTTTTACGATATATATCACAGAATTATTAAAAAAGAAGTTAGACTTTAGAATTCTTACTAGAATCATAGACTTGGCGACATATTTCGATAAATAAGGAGAATGTTTGATCTTGAAAAGAAACAACTATATGACATTGCAAGAGCACTGGATTTGTTTTGTCCATTATAAATGGCGCGACATGCTGACATGCCTTTGGCGAATAAAATGACTGATAAGGAATTTTTACTTTTGTTTCACAGTTGAAGAAAAATGTCTGCAAGAATCAATATGTATGATTCCTTCATCAGTTTCTTTAAATGCGAATATAAAGACGCATTTGTTACGATTTTTAAATATTATTCTTTATTATTTCCCGCTTCTCGTTAATTGATTGTTCAATAAGTTTTGTGTTCCTCATTTCACACGATTTAAGAAAGCAAGCAGAAAAAAAAGATCATTTCAAGAGTTGGCGATGTTTGAGAGCTTGGCATCCATTTGGGCGAGTAGTTTAATGCAAACAGGCTCTTTTCATAGGGATGATGGTTTTTTATTAACTTGCAACAGAGTATAGTTCTTCCATATTTAAAAATGAAGTTCGAAACATATTTTATATATGAGAAAGAGTGGAGTTAGACAGGAATAAAAAAAATATATTTTATAAACTATCGCAGTGATTTAGGTTTAATTGAACTTTTTCAGACTATATCATTAGAGAAATTTTGCAAGGCGGTACTGTTTCCGATAGTTTCAACGTTACCTATTAACTACTAAACGCGAAAATTTCTCAACCAATCAGTATTGCTTAGGAGTGGAAAATAAGGTTAACGCTACGGTTAATATAAGACAAACGTCATGCAAAATCTCTCTATTCTCTCTTTATCTTTGTTTAGCGTCGTCGTTATCCGTGATACAAATATTTACTATTTTAAGTGTTTAACAGCGAGAATCACGTTTCAATAAAAAAAAGTAGTGGTTGCCTATTGAAACTTTAATCGCAACTGTGAGAACTGGATAAGATTTGTTAGTTTTATACTTGAAAGGCACATAAGCACCTTTTATACAATTTCGTTTCCTTGAATGGTATGCTTGTATAGGGTCATATGTTGGCAAAGCTTTTTTATAATCACCCTGTATGTGATCTATCCTGCAGAACTTTTGATAATTACTATTTAAAAAAGTTTTAGTGTGGAAATAACTTAGTTACGACAAACAATAACTTATGTTTTCTAATTCTTTTTAAAAAGGAGAAATTACTTCTGCTATAGATAATAATTTGACTTAAAGTATTGATTTAAACTGTAATTAACAAAATTAGACTCCATTTGATCGACATTACACTTACAGTTAAGAAGAAGAGTTTTTTTTTAATAGTGGATATATATGTGATGATTTGTGCATGCTTAACAGTTACATAACAACTAATTGTTGAAACACCAAGTGTACGTTAACAAGGTGGCTGAAAAATCTTGAGTTATTTAAAAGTAAAAATATTGTTTATTAGAATTATGTTTATGAGAATACATTTTTGAACATTTTGTAGCGAGATTTATTTTTATGAAAGATATTGCAATAATGTTTTATTTCTTTCCGATTACTGCATACCTGAGTTTTTCGTGAGAACGAATGTTGCGAAAAAAGGTTCGAATTTTTACTGTATGTTCCCATCCCTGCGTAGATAAACAATACAGAAACCATTTACCTACAGAGTAAGCGTTTTAGTAAAGTAAGTCGTTATCACATCAAAATGCTATTTTAGCATTAATTGAGAGTCCCCAAAATGACGTTTGTTTTAAGATTAGTAATTAAGTTCATCAACAGATGGCAATGGTAATTGCAAAAACTATAAAACAGCGATTTCCACTGTATGTCAAGATCATTCCAACTAGTGCAGTGTGCTTGATTTATTTGTAAACTGGCATCCCGATATTAAAATAAAACTACACAAATGATGTAGCTAAGTTATATCCGAACACCTAGCTTATGTTCTTTGTAAATAGAATACACGACGTGATTTCCTCACTCTCCGCACTTTCCCTCTTCACCCAAATTTCCGCCGATCTTGATTTTTTCCTACGCCAGTTTATTCAACTGCTTACTGATATGTAGGCTGGGATAGCGAGGTTGGTAGGGCGCTCGGCCCAAGTGAAAAAGATCGTGAGTTCGATCCCCGCCTGCAGAAGACTCCTCGTGTACAAAATAATGACTAGTTCACATTAAATATGTCAGGGGCACAAAGTTCTTCAAGTTCCCATTACAAATCAATAACTCTGGGGGTACTGGATCGGAGATTGATCGTGGTCTGGTTCACGTCAAAATCACGATCTGCGGATGGATGGAAGATGTGTGATTGTGTTCTCCCTGTAAATCGGGCTGTGACGTACGTGTGTAGCAGAAGTTCTTGTCCATACATGGCGCCGATGGAAAGCAAGAAGAAGCGCACCCCTCAGCCTATAAATAGGTTTGTCAGTATTGGCAAGTAGCATAAGACAATAAAAACAACTCAAATGTGCTACTGTGGGAAAAACGTGATATGTTCCTCCTTTTTATGGCAATGGAAAGGGAGAAAGTGTGGAGAATAGGGAAATCACGCTATATCGAGATGTCTATTATACTTAAAATAGCGTAAGATAATAGTTTTTACCAGTTTCATGCGTGTAGTTCAAATTTTATTGATTGAGCAGAATAAAATTTAGTTGTACGTATTTCTAACCATATCTTAAAAAGTAGCAGGGATGGTTCAAGATATGGTGTATTCACCTCTCTCAAATTCGTATCTCGGTGATGACTGATTGGCTTATGTATTGCTTCAGGTTTGCACCAACCATAACTGATAAAATATATTTACAATTATAGACGAAACTGAGGGAGAGTCCCCTTGTCATCGAATTAACTGTAAGAAGTTTTCCAGTCGATGTTGGTTACATTAATGGAAAAATATACTCTCTGGAGATAAATTTCTATTATTTTAACCAAGCGTTCCCTTGTCTCCTGTGTTGTGTTTAAAATTAAAAGGCTTTGTGGATTAGCGAATCTGATATTCGATTGCCTCCACTTTTAAGATAAAATACAATATTTCTAATAAAAATTTTAATAATGTGTATAAAAATTGAATAATTTTTATTAAAATGTTTTTGATTTTTCAACCACCTTCTAGAACAAACATATTCTTCAAACAAAAGTACTTTGAAGTTAATTCTGAGGATGCATAACATAAGTATGAGAATCTGGTTATGCTAATTGTGAAGTACAGTCAGGCGTGCAAGTCAGAAAACATTGCATGCGTAAATTACAAGCAAGATGTCTCACAATTAATCGAACGAACCTTAAATTCTTTTAAACCCTAGAATACAAAATGTTCTTCATACCTTAAAGATACGCAGTTTTTGTCCCATTGCGAAATTTAAAGATTTCTAACTTTTAAAAAAGGGAAATAATATTACATTGGTTCTTTTAAAAGAAAGCAGAATTTTTGCCCAAAAGTTCTAGGCATATGCCAGTTTCAATGTTATTAAAATCCTGGCTTTGTACTCTTTGTACTTTAAAGTATTAAAAAAAATAATCTTGCAAATATTTATGATGACATGATCATATTACGCAGATTGGGTATTATATTTTTTTAAAAAAAATATTAAATTGCAATAATAGTGTTGAGATGTTTAAACTTCGAAGGCTAACATATTTCCTATCAAAAGAATGCGAAATATATGCAAAATGAATTTTTGGTTTTAAGATAACTTTTAAAAATTTGTTCCTAGCCTCTAAAAAATCTTAAAAATGCATCTATTTTGAAGAAAAAAACAAACAAACAACAATTTGAAATTAAGAATATGAGATTAATGTGGACAAAATATTTTAAAAATCGTTTGCGTATAAAAATTGTGTTCTACTGGTTTTAATGGAAAAAAATCATACTAAGATTTTTCTGTTCTGGTTGAAATTTTTTTTGTAACGGTAGACTGTAAAGTTGTGGTAGTATTTAAGTCGAATTCTAAACCATTCATGAATTAATACGCTTCTTTTCCATAAAGTTCTTAAATGATGAATGAAAATTGTGTTTAGTTAATGTTCTTTTTTTGAAGTTCTTAAATAATAGAAAAAACTGCCTTAAACAATTGTATGTCATTTCATTAAAGCTCATTAATATAACAGGTGGGCTGAAAAATTCGTAGGTTAACATAGAAAAAAATTTTTTTTGGATAAAATTTCATTTTATTATTCAATATAGTTTCCGCAAGGGCGATACAACAATTATAGCGGTCGTATAACTTTTCGATACCATTTTTATAGTACGATTTGTCTTAAGCCTCAAAATAGGGCTTAGTTTCTGTGACTACTTCTTCATCCGAGCTAAATTTCTTTCCAGTGAGCATTCTCTTGAGGTCTGAGAACAGGAAAAAGTCACTGGGGACCAGATCTGGAGAATATTGTGGATGCGGAAGCAATTCGAAGACCAACTTATATAATTTTGCCACCGTTTTCAATGACTTGTGACACGGTGCATTGTCTTGATGAAACAGCACTTTCTTCTTCTTCAAATAGGGCCGTTTTTCTGCGATTTCGTAGTTCAAACGCTCCAATAACGCTATGTAATAGTCGATGTTGATGGTTGTTCCTTTTTCAAGATAGTCAATGAATATTAAACCATGAGCATTCTAAAATACTGACGCCATAACTTTGCCTGCTGACTTTTGCATCTTTCCAAGCTTTGGAGTTGGTTCTTCTCGTGCAGTTCACTCGCTGACGGTCGATTGGACTCCGGTGTGAAATTATGGAGCCATGTTTCACCCATTGTCATATATCGACACATAAATTCAGATTTATTACGATTAAACAGCTTCAAACACAGCTCAGAATCATCAATTCGTTGTTGTTTTTGGTCAATTGTGAGCTCGTGCGGCACCCACTTTGCCTAGAGCTTTCTCATACCCAAATATTCATTCACGATATGTCTAACACTTTCCTTTGATATCTTTAGAGTCTCAGATATTTTGATCAACTTCACTTTACGGTAATCTAAAATTATTTTGTGGACTTTTTTGATGTTTTCGTCGGTAACAGCCTCTTTGGGGCGTCCACTGTGTGCATCGTCGTCGGTGCTCATTTCGCCTCGTTTAAACTTAGCAAACCACATCTCAATGGTTGATTTTCCTGGTACAGAGTTCGAATAATGTTTTTCAAGAAAATCCTTGGCTTCAAGAGTATTTTTTTTCGCCAGAAGGCAATGCTTTATAAACACGCGAAATTCCTTTTTATCCATTGTTTTTAAACTAACAAAAGTTGCTTCACTAAAAATACTACATCTCACAAACTGTTAGTTCGACAGCTGTCAAATTTATACACGTGTCTTTCGAAGGTTAGAATTGACTAAAAATCATATGCTTTTAATAATAGTAGCCCCATCTATGTGTCAGCCTACGAACTTTTCAGCCCAACTGTTAGTACGAAAACTGTGTTTAGGAATTGTAAATTTTTCATAGTAAAAGTTGTTTAATTCTGTATGAAAATTGTGCTTAGATTATGTATTTTTAAAATTTTTAAAATCTCCAATACTGACCGAAAAGAATGTTTAGGAATTGAATTCTTTTCTTTTAAAGTTTGTTCTTTTAATATAGAAACATCTTGTATATATGTATTTAAATTTCCAAACGTGTGAATGCTTTTTAATGTCATACATCACAAAAAGAGACACACATCAAATACATTTAGATTGATTTAAAGCGAATCATGCATTCGTAAACGAATTGAACTTGCGAGTTAAAAAAAATAGTGTGCTGTTTTATTCCACACATTTAAAAGAACATATATACCTGATACAATGATCCTGTTTCCTCCCATAGCTGATTTACAAAGAGAAAAAATATAATTTTATAACAACAGATATCGAGATTTTGGGTAAATTTAAGAGTCAAATTGAATAGGAAAGGGAATATAGTTTTATTTTATTCTGACACATGAAATACATAAAACACCATTATCATGCATTCTGATTTTTAGAATTGACCACTTGATACAGAAAAAGCATGAGTGAAGTTTGAGAGAAAAATACGTTAAGTAAAATTATCATTCAAACATCAGAAATATTTTAGAAACTATATTTTTGCATTGAAAACAGTATTATTTAAAAAATATCTGTAACTATAGTCAACTTTGTCATGCCGTTAAGCATGGAAATATGTTATCAATATTTTACTTCACATGTGCTCTCACTTAGCTATTCAATTGTCTTGTGTTTTTCTGCATTAAGTGCATCAATTATACTCTAATTAAAACAATTGTTAAAACAAATATAAGTTACGTGCTGAGTACATGCATAATCTTAACATCGAATTAATATGAATTAATTTCAACATTTAATTAGAACTTTTTAAACAAAGAATTTTAACATAGCATATTAAAATAATTTTCAAAATAATTTTGACGTTTAGATTTTTTTTAAACACCAGGGTTTTACTGAGAATGTTTGACATGAATAATATGATTTATAATTGTTTTGAAATTGACAATAACACTATGATCTCTTACGACAAACTTTTTAAATATTTAGATGTCAAAACACCAATTAGAAATTAAAATTCGTTAAGATTAGAATACAATAGTAACATGTATATTCATGCTGGTATTGTTTTTTAGTCAATAACTTTTCGCATTATCACGAGGGCATTATATTGAAGAGAGAAAAACTATACCATTTCTTTTTTAAAAACTACATTGCAGAAGAAATGTTAGCTGATTGAAAAATGGTTATTGTAGCATAAGATCTTGGAGGAAAAACATTTTAAATAATTATACTAAATAGAAATTAAGTAATCTTTAAGAATTCAAAACAATATTAGTAACATATACTATATCCATTCTAATGTTATTTTAAACAGTAAGTTCCTAGACAAAATTTTTAACTCTAGGGAAAACTTTAACAATCATTTTTAACCGAGATTTTTAAACTTTAACAATTATTTTTAACAATAATTTTAATTTACCGAGAGAGTTTCTTGTAAACTGAAATATATGGGAGAAAAAAAAAAGTTTTGCGTAATGGAGAAAATTCAGTAATATGCTTTTTCACTTTTTAAAAATTATTTTTTGAAAATAATATTTCATTTATTTGAAAAATGTATTTCATTCGGAAAATAACTTTTGTTTTATAATCAGATTTAAACTCCTCAAAGTTCTTTTAGCATTTTTGTTGATAAATTTAAATGAATTATTGAATCATTTTGATAACATTATTGAAAGACTTTTTTTTATTTGAACACATTCTGAAAATATGAATTAACAAACAAACAAAAATTATACTATGAAGTGATAGTCAGCTATTTTTATTGCTATTAAGTTACTATATAAGTTACTATAAATGCTATTAAATTACTTTGAGTGGGTAACATTACTTGAGTCTGATTAGGTATCGAATGTAGAATTTAATGACGCAATATCCTCCTACTGTAGCGCCATTAAACCCTTTATTCAAACATAATAAAGCTTTCTACCTCTTATTTTGTTATGTTTCCATGTTAATTTGGCATCAGACTTATTTTACAGCAACATTATAACATTTTATTTCCTTTACATTGAGTGCGTCATGACGTTTGCATTTAGTTCAGTATAGCAACCATTGAAACCCTTAAACTGTACATTTTATCAGATTTAAATTTTATTTTTTAAATTTACATAAAAATTGAACATTTCTTCCAACTCTTGATATCCTAAAGTAGGGGTTTCCAACTGGCGGCCCGCGGAGCCTTTTTTTGTGGCCCGAGAACTAAAATGTGTTAGTTGTCATTTTTTGCGGACAATTTTCGTAAAAAATCAATATGGGTTTAAAATACTTTTCTCGTTAATAAAAACCTAATTTCTTCGTCTCTGTGAAATTTAACATACCAACGGTGCAAAAAAAATTATTTCTCAGGTTTTGCATCCAAGAAAATATTTATTCAAATACAAAAATAATTGTGTATGTTGCTCTTNTTAAAACTTACAAGTCAGGTAGTTGCAGCAGACAAACCTCAATTTTCTCATTGAACATTTTGTATGCTACTATGTAAATTTTAATACTAACCTTTTTAAAGTTAGCAATTAGATATCTGTTGCACATAAATTGTTTTATACATTGCACATTAAAATTATTGTAGCCCAAATTTTTATTACTTATTTAATATTTTTTAAAATATTATTAATAACAATTGAATATTTTTAAAAATCTACTTCTTATTTTAATTTGTAATTCAATACTTTTGTTTTGTAAGACCTGGTGGAAATCTGACAGTAATATTTAATGTTTCTTCATAAAAGAGTCCTACATAAAATGCTGACAAAGTTGCGGCCCTCCATTTGATTTGTGATTTTAATTGTGGCCCCCGGACTCATGTAAGTTGGAAACCCCTGTCCCAGAGATTAGTACTTTTTTAAGTGTTTTTATTGATAGTAAGCTATTTTAATATTTTCAGAATTTAATAGAATTCTTAAAAAAAAATAGACGTCCACAATTCAGATCTGCACGGTTAATTGTTTCTTAAAGAATTTTTAAACGAATATTTAAGTCAAGCTTTCGTTTTTAACTATAACTAAGAATATAATATTTTACGGGGTTTAGAGGAAATTTCTTTTCATTAAATTCCGTTGCCTAGCAACAGAAAGAAAAAATGGGTATTGACGAGGAAAGTGAAAGAATTCTATCTAACTGCTTAGGAACGAGTCTTATAAGATTTCTTCATTGACTAAATTTCTCCAAAACATCGTAGAGTGTTTCCAATAAAAGTTATCAAATTATTTTTTTAAATAATGAATTAAGTTATTTTTTAATTGCCTGAAATAAATGTTAGTTTTGAAAATTTTTAATTTTAATAATTAGTTGGTTTCATAATTACGTATCATGTGCGTTCTTGTGAATAAGCATTGTGAATGATCTTATTCCTCCTTATGCATGGTAGATTAAAAAAAGAAGAAAAAGAAAAGAAAACTTGATGGATATTTGAGATTTGTGACAAGGGAAGGAGGAAATTGAGAGAATCTTTAATACTGCTAACAAGACGAGAGTACTGCTTTATACTTTAATACTGCTAACTTTCAAGTAAAAAATTTTTTTAAACGCCAAATCGAATGAAACCGAAGCTAAGTACATGAGACTAATGGTTTCGAAATAATTAAGATTTTAAGTAAAAACAGTTCAAATTTTGAACTAAATCTATTTATGCACCAGACATTCCTATCTAGGCATGTGAGGTATTGTTACCAGATATTTTTTCTAATGCTGAATCGAATCTATTTTCGTGCAGAACAATACTATTTATGCAAACTAAGCATTGATTCCTGAGTTTTTTATTACGTAGAATTATGTGAGACTAAAATGAAATAAGTAGGACAAACAGTGCAAAAGTTATAAAAGCGTTTATGTAAAAAAGTACAATTTATACTTATACCTATTTAGACATCTGGTATTGCTATATAAGGTAACATAGTTCTGAATTTTTATGCATTGTTTGACTATACATTTAATGAGACTAAGAATAAGTAAATCGAACTAATAGTTTAAGAGTTACGTAAATTTAATGTATGAAAATTGTAATTTCTTATTTATAATACACCTTTATGCCTTTCTATCGAATTAACTTGGTTTTTATTTGATTAAGAGTAAAAAGGTATTTAAAAAAAATACTGTCTGACTTTTCATATCGCTAACAATATCAGATACGTCACTTTTTACAAGCCGAAAATTGTAATGTTTACTCATAAAAACTTAATAACTCTTTTAACTTTTAAAACCTGACTTGATCTATAGTAATATTAGACCCATCAATATGTATAAGTCAAAATTTATGCTGCTTTACAAAAACTTTTAATTGCTATCATTTCAGGTTTAGTCTTATTCGATTTAGAACAAAGGAAAAATGATACCCCCTAGATAGGAATGTTTAAATATCTCCCCTCCCCAGTCGTGGTACCCACTATCACGTTATTAAATTCATGCTTGAAACTTTTAATTAGAATTTTCAACATCCTTAGTTTCAAAGAAATACGTCATAACTTATTTTCCTTGAGATTTGTGCGGAATCCATTAAAATAAAGTTGTAATTTTTATACACGACAAAAAAAAATATTTCTTTAATTGGACAAAGCTCAGGTCTCTTTCTTAAGCGATCCGTCAATTTTTTAAAAGATAAAATTACGATTTTTTAAAAAAAAAAGATCTTTCATTCCTTCTTACAAAGAGTAAATGGACTGAGAAAAAGTTTGTAAGAAGGGAAACCATTAATATCTCGTTATCAATTAAGAATTCGGTTTTTGAAAAAGAACATCATTTAAAAATTTAATGGATTCAACAGTATGTTGCGCATTTTACTGTCACAAGTAATTAAGGTTGAAAATATTCACTGCAAACCGAGTTTTCATATTCAATTAAGATGCTAATAATTGTTTTGGGGCGAAAAAATGTAAAAATGTAAGTCTTTAAAGTTCTATCAAACAAAAGAAGGAAATTGATTGAAGGTAGCAGAGTAAAACAACCATGATCATAAAAACACCTTTTTAGATTTTGTATAATTTTTCTTTTATAATATAGATCAGATTATTTAGATTTTGTAAAAGTAAAAGAAATTTCTTAATTGAAATTTTATATTGTATTATTTAGAATACACTACATTGAATTTAATTTTACAAACCCCTTGATTCTATTTCAAATTAGTTCTCGGTTTAAAATGTCATGAATTAAATTGTATTTTCACTTTCTGAGATTATGTTCAAACTTCAAAAGGTAAATTGACTTTTTTTTTCAGGATTGATTTCTAAAATACAACGAAATTAATGTAATTACAACAACTTAAATTCTGAGAGAACTTGAATTGGT